TCTTCTGTTTATTAAGTGTAGTATTTTTATTTTGTCTGTTCTTGAGTAACTGTAAATCGTATTGCTGTTATTACAACAGCTAGTGTACATCCACACTGTTATCTTCTTCATTTTTAGTGTTAATATGAAGCCTCCTATGTAACTGCATTTGGCAGGTAAATGTTAAGGCTGCAGTGTTTAAAGGTGACAGCAGACACATGGAGGTAACTGAGGCAAAGAAGGCTTTTTAATTATTGGGATCCTCTGTCATAGTCTCACTGCTCTAAAAACAACAATTTCTACAGTCATTTGAAAGAATTTTCACAGGACTCTACAGTCATAAAAACACAAAATAAACCTTTGTCAGTATTATGGGAGAATTTTGCCCCACTTTTATTAACAGTGCCTGCTCAGTTTGCTCTGTATTTGCAGGCATTTGTTTATGGACTGAGAGGACAGAACAAACTAATGGTTCACGTTACAAATTGTGCACACCTGAAGTAAAACACTAACTTTCCTCTTTTCTCTCTCTCTGTCCCAGGTTGTCATAAAGATGGTACCTGTGACGAGCCAATTGAAACGTACAGATTCAAAAGATGGGGCAAAAGATGGCACCTACATGGAAATGAAAAACCCTACGGGGAAATGTAAAGTGTGAGTCATGTGTTTGTAAGTATCCTGCTTCCAGTGAATAGACGCATGTGGTAGTGTGAGAAAATGTAAGAGGATCTGGAGTTAAATCTGACTACACACATAGTATAATATGCTCTTTTGTTCCTGCAACCTTTCACAATGATATTTTGGTGATCTCATTCAACCGTTTTTTGAAGTCAGAACTCTTGAATGAAATCTGTTGAGTCTGGGAAATCTTGTCAGACTTGTGTTTCATTATGAACAGGCAGAGTATTGGGCTAGAGACTTTGCGGTGTAATTATATCATTTAGAAAATACCCAAAATGTCCAATGAACTAATGTTCATATGCTGGCTTACATAATGCAGTAACTCTGTCACTTAAAATAAATAAATAAATAAATGATTAAAGTGGGGCAAAAAAGTATTTAGTCAGCCACCGATTGTGCAAGTTCCCCCACTTAAAATGATGACAGAGGTCAGTAATTTGCACCAGAGGTACACTTCAACTGTGAGAGACAGAATGTGAAAAAAAAATCCATGAATTCACATGGTAGGATTTGTAAAGAATTTATTCGTAAATCAGGGTGGAAAATAAGTATTTGGTCACCTCAAACAAGGAAAATCTCTGGCTCTCACAGACCTGTAACGTCTTCTGTAAGAAGCTTTTCTGTCCCCCACTCGTTACCTGTATGAATGGCACCTGTTTGAACTCATCATCTGTATAAAAGACACCTGTCCACAGCCTCAAACAGTCAGACTCCAAACTCCGCCACGGCCAAGACCAAAGAGCTTTCGAAGGACACCAGGAAAAGTATTGTAGACCTGCACCAGACTGGGAAGAGTGAATCTACAATAGGCAAGCAGCTTGGTGTGAAAAAATCAACTGTGGGAGCAATCATCAGAAAATGGAAGACATACAAGACCACTGATAATCTCCCTTGATCTGGGGCTCCACGCAAGATCTCATCCCGTGGGGTCAAAATGATCATGAGAACGGTGAGCAAAGATCCCAGAACCACACGGGGGGACCTGGTGAATGACCTGCAGAGAGCTGGGACCAAAGTAACAAAGGTCACCATCAGTAACACACTACAACGGCAGGGAATCAAATCCCGCAGTGCCAGACGTGTTCCGCTGCTGAAGCCAGTGCATGTCCAGGCCCGTCTGAAGTTTGCCAGAGAGCACATGGATGATACAGCAGAGGATTGGGAGAATGTCATGTGGTCAGATGAAACCAAAGTAGAACTTTTTGGTATAAACTCAACTCGTCGTGTTTGGAGGAAGACGAATACTGAGTTGCATCCCAAGAACACCATACCTACTGTGAAGCATGGGGGTGGAAACCTCATGCTATGGGGCTGTTTTTCTGCCAAGGGGACAGGACGACTGATCCGTGTTAAGGACAGAATGAATGGGGCCATGTATCGTGAGATTTTGAGCCAAAACCTCCTTCCATCAGTGAGAACTCTGAAGAAGAAACGAGGCTGGGTCTTCCAACATGACAATGATCCAAAACACACCGCCCGGGCAACAAAGGAGTGGCTCCGTAAGAAGCATTTGAAAGTCCTGGAGTGGCCTAGCCAGTCTCCAGACCTCAACCCCATAGAAAATCTGTGGCGGGAGTTGAAAGTCCGTGTTGCTCGGCGACAGCCCCAAAACATCACCGCTCTCGAGAAGATCTGCATGGAGGAATGGGCCAAAATACCAGCTACTGTGTGTGCAAACCTGGTAAAGACCTATAGTAAACGTTTGACCTCTGTTATTGCCAACAAAGGTTATGTTACAAAGTATTGAGTTGTATTTTTGTTATTGACCAAATACTTATTTTCCACCCTGATTTACGAATAAATTCTTTGCAAATCCTACCATGTGGATTCATGGATTTTTTTTTCACATTCTGTCTCTCACAGTTGAAGTGTACCTCTGGTGCAAATTACTGACCTCTGTCATCATTTTAGGTGGGGGAACTTGCACAATCGGTGGCTGACTAAATACTTTTTTGCCCCACTGTATATGAATTCAGCCACCTTCATTTTCCTTTCAGAGAATGCTCACTAAAGAAAGAATTGCCAGCAATGCCAAAGGTAGAAGACGGTACAGGCAAAGTTTTATGACTTCAAAGGGTTTGCATGAACTAGAAAAACACTTTTAATTGCTTTTAAATTCTAATCTAAATATATTTGTGGTTGAGTCGAGCATTTCATGTTTTCTTTAGGCTTTTTAGTCAAAATGGAGGAAACACGTTTGCAAATTTAACCTCCATGCACATCTCTTGTGCACTCACTGCTCCTGTGGTTTGACTGTGGGCATGATTAACCGTGGTGATGAGCAGTGCCAAATGTGTCTAATAATACGAAGGTTATGGGTTACCTGGCTAACTCACAAAGCGCATGCGAAATGCTAGTTTCACACATTGTTCTTAAAGAGTAAACAGGCTCCCCGGATCTTCTGCTTCCTCTGCATCTCGGAGGACGCTCCATTCTAGGAGCAGTAACCATTCGAGTCTTCATATCAGGGCTTTGCTATCTCTTAACACCTTTTGAGATATGCCATCAGCTTCCTGTGTTGACAATACCAGTCTCTTTCCTTATTTATAGGACAGCATATCAGATTGAACCAGAATGCAGGAGGAAATGTGCTAACGCATCATTTACATATCTATCCACAGCTGTACAGTTTCTCTTAAAGCATGGCCAAATCTTTATCTAAGTTACAATTACAAAACATCATTTATTTTATGGATTAACAAAAAAAAAAAAACCCATTGCATTGTTCTTCTCTATAGTGAATATGTTATTCAGACATTAACAGTACTTGTTGCTGCCATCACTGGGGAGAACTTGGAGAGTGTCTAAGTGGGATTTCTGACATTTGGTAGAAAGCAGGTAAGATGAAAGAAAATGGATCTTAATCATTCAAATATAAATTGTACAATGAAGGATACTTAAAAAACATTGTGATGCTGAGGATTAACTTTATGAGCCTTTTAGCACCATACATCCCAAGATTGTTGCTGAGCTAAAGCCGATCTTTATGAAAGAAGGATCCAAATTCAGAGTGCAGATCTGACCTGGAAATGATTAAAATGTCCTGCTGGCAAAGAATATTATCAACCAGCATCTTGAATGATAAATCAGTGTGTTCAATAAATACAGAAAAGAGTATAATGTAGTCAGATCGCATTATTACACAATGTTTGCTGGCTTTCTCTTTCTGTTACTGGTCCAACAAGTCTCTCGACTAGGTTGACAACACCTAGGCATCCATCCGTCTATCCATGTACCTGTGGGTTTGTGCAGTACATGGATAGGCGGATGGATGCTCCAACTGTAGCTCCAGCTTCAACATCAAAAGCTTTGATGAATGCTTCAGATCTTCAGATTAATCGAGTTTCGTATGACTATTAGTGAGTTAAAAACCACTGGACGTTATTACTGCTCATGTAGTCTTTTTTAACTCCCACCTCAGCGCTTTATGACTCATTAGATCAAATGTATTGACACATTATAAAAGAGATGGATGTTTTTGGATATTTTTGTAAGTCTCAAATTTCCCCCTTTTTGAATGTAGCATCCTTACATCAGTGTGTCTTTGTGTCTACAGCAGGAAGCCAAATGCCTGATGCACTGATAGTTCCTGGATTTATTTTGGAAAGCATTCTTTTATTTATTGCATATTGCATTGCTCTTTCTCAAACTTGAAAAAGGCTTGGCTGTGTTTTTTGATTTACACTGAAGTCTTAGTCAGCACTCCATGCCATATGAACAATGTATTCCTTTGGATTATAAATTCTATTTTTAAACCTGTATACTTCTATTTTGGTGTATTTTTTCAGTCCTTTACATAAGTGTGGCGTTCAGTTAAATTGTCAAAACACACGCTGAACAGAATTTGTGAACCAATAAAATGTGACTGGTGTAGATTTATATGTCGGATTAAAAGAGGAAGAGTCAATATTCTCTCCTCTGATATGATAAACAACTGAGTTAACCACATTTGTTTGATTCTCATTGTGGTCCCATCCTTCTTTTTTCTCTCTTCTTTTGAAGTTTGAATGAAAAGTAGGTTGCTTTAGAGCCGGTAACATGGCCAACACCTTCACGGTGTACAACACCTCCTCTTACATGCCCCACTCCGCACCACCATCAGATCTAACCACACTGTCCAGCTTGTGAAATATCCCCATGTATGTCACCAGGGCTTTTGTCTGAACCACATCATTATCACTGAGATTCAGTGGAATTACACTGTCACTATGTGCGTATGCGTGTGTCTGTAAGGGGTGGGTGGTTACATCTGACTTTGTTTCCTGTTTCTCGCAACACTTCTCTGAACACTCCAAAGAACTGAAAGCCCTGACCCACAAACACACTCTCACACACACACACTCGCACAAACAAAGCCTTCCTAAAACCGTTAATTTGAGTCAGCTTTAAAGGAAATCTACACCTCAGCTCAGTCAGAGTGCCTCGTCCTGCTGCTGAAAACGACATTGTTTTGCTTTCAAATGAGTGAATTTCAGCATAAGTTGGTTGTTTAACTTCCACACTGCCTGCTCTCCCAAAATGAACTTTGTCTTGGTAAGTAATTCTGTTCATAGGTTTGATCTGGATCATCTGCGTGTTTAATTTCAAGGGTGCTTTAATGCAGTTTCCTCTGAGTGGATTTTCATTATTCATTGTGATGGGAACTATCGGAAAAGATTATGTTTGGATTAGAGGAAGCAAACGTTATGTCTTAATGACTGCAAGATAAATATTTATGATTATTTGTAATATTTTCCTGCGTATATTCTTGAGTGGCCGTAAATCTCATTGCTGCCATGACTACAGCTAGTGTACATCCTCACTGTTGTGGCTTCTGTTTTTATTGTTTGCAATAAGAGCTCCATATGTAGCGTGTGTACGTTAGTTGCTGCAAAATCGTTAAGGCTGTAGTGACATGTAGTTGTATGTGGATGAATGAAGGGAAGACGTTCTGTAGATTACTGGGATTATCTTTTGTGGTCTTGCAGCTCTGGGTGCAGTGAGACCGTGACGTTTAATAACTTGATACTTTTACATGAGCTGTATCTAATGATTATTTACTTTCTCTTTTTGCATTATTCACATTTACCCACCTTAAAGATCGCAAGGTTCTTGTCATAATAAATAAATAAATAAATAATAAATGTAAAGACAACGGCCAATAGGTTTCTTAAGGTTTACCTTTGAGAGACTGAAATCACTCAATTGAAAATAGACAATAACTCACAACAATGAGAGGAGAGTCACAGATGAAGAACTTTTAACAATACTGCAAGCTATATTTCAGGGATCTAAATAATCACAGATGTAGGGGAAAAGTTAGCAGAAGGATTCCCTTTGTTTTATGTGTTATCATTGGGCAGCCAGCATCCATAAATATAAGTGTTTTGGGGTTTAGGAAAAGGAAGATGAAGAAGCCCACAGTGTGTAAAACTGGAAGAATAGTCCGGTAAGCTGGTAGCACTGGGCTCCCTGACCTGTCATTTCCTATCGCTCAACAGTTTTCCAACTTATCTCTTTTCTGTGGGGCCAAATCTGTGGGGCAGGGTTGTATTATATTATTTATATGATGATTTCCTCTTCTGAACTTTTCTCACTCACCTACAAGTCAGAAATATTTGACCTTTGTGTCGGACGTTTGTAGAGAGAATATTTTTTTTCACTCAGTGGTGTGTGTGTGTATATATATATATATATATATATATATAATATATATATATATATATATATATATATATATATATATGTATAGAGAGAGAGAGAGAGAGAGAGAGAGAGAGAGAGAGAGAGAGAGATTTTAACATGCAGTACAGCTACAGCTGCTTGGATATTCACCTACTGCAGACGTGTGCGAACATTACTTATACATTTAACAGTAGTGTTATTAATCAATCAGGTTCATATCTCATCAGTATGTATTGGGGAAGTTTTGAAAATGAGGATGTTTTTGGACTGAGGTTTGCAATATGCGTCATGTATGTGAGAACTCTGATGGTCAAGAAGAGTCTTAGTTCATTGGCTCTGGGTGGAGGATGGTCCAAATACTCTGACATGTTTTCCGTTCTGTCTTCAAAATGGACCAAGTCTCCACTGATCTGCTTGGCATATTTTTTTTCTGTCATTCTGCTTTGGTAGAACAACAACTGTCTGCTGCACGATGTGCATGCTAGAGTTCAGAAAATGTGTTGAACCTTTAATGGCAGTGGAACATTTACATTTTCAATGAACATGTTCCTCTTTGATGATATATGCAAATTAAAAAGTTTTTCCTCTCCAGTGACTTGATGAGAGTCAATTATTTTTACTCTTTCTGTCATTTTGTTTCAGCTTTTGTGATGAAATGTCAATCCTGCTCACACACAAGCACCTTAACCCTCATTTAACACCTCAGATCTTCAGACCTCATTTTTTTTGTTTCAGGTCTTCCCACTGATGCTTGCACTGACTTCCTGTGGACAGAGTCAAACTGAGGGGATCGAACAAACTAATGATTCGTGCTACAATTTATGCCCAGCTGGTAAGATATACATAGGATTATTATTGACAATTATTGTCCTTCGTGAAGTCATTGTGGAAATATCACATTAACTCGTTACCTTTCTCTTTCTCTCTGTCTTCCCCAGGATATCATAAAGTTGGTGATTGTGATGATCAAGTTAAAAAGTACAAATGCAAGAAATGTGAGCATGGCACATTCACGGAGGTAGAAAACTTCGTAGAGAAATGTCGTAGGTGTGACTCATGTAATCGTAAGTATCCTGCTCATTTTCAGTTTGCTGCTACACATACTGTCAGCTTGTGTGATAAAGTTTAAGGAGCGTTCAAGTACAAATTAGACTAGAATAAAGCAGATGGATATTTTCTGGTTATTTCAATATATAAAACATGTGAAGATGGCACCTTCACTGGAAAACCACAGAGAGAAACGTGGACTAAAATAAAACAGTAGACTGGTGTTTTCTGTTTATTTGGTCATATAAAAGACAATGCTATTCTTCGCTGCATGTAAGATCTCTTTTAATGATGAGCAAATTATAATGATCGAATATTTCTGTTAAACCAGTTTGATGCAGTGGAATGAAATAAATATTTAGTGTGGGAAATCCTAATATAATAGTAACTGTATGTCACTAATAACATCAGTGCCAGTTTGAGTATTCACTTTACATGGAGACTTGCACTGTAACAACAACACGTGAATTTGTGTGCGTACCAGTTTGAGCGTGCCGTTAACATATTGATTCCTTCTGTTTACATTTCAACTGAGTTTCACATAAAATATTGAAGCAGAACTTGGAAAAATCATTTCATGTGCTAATTGATGAAAAGAATGTGACAGTAGAAAACAACATGTGGTCCCATGGCCTTATCGGGACTGCGTTTTTCAGTTATTTGGACTGAGATGGAAACACTGTATTTTGCTTTTCCCCCAGATGATGAGGTGGTAATAGAGCCCTGCACCTTTAACAGGAGCACAGTGTGTGGCTGCATGGAGGGATACTACAATTCAGGATCTTATCCACGGCAATGTTCAATATGTTCCTGCCCGCACTGCCCACGTAAGTAACCTCAAAGGATTTTAAAGCATTAGACTGATATTCACTGCAGCCAAACGGATTCATTTTCTAATATAATAACAATCTCACTTTAAATTCCTACATTCACAGTTACTCTTATGTTCCTTTCAGGGAATGCTGACTACTACACGAAGTGCCCACACCCCCGGAGGTAGAAGACTTTACAATGTAACAGAAAATAAACAAAAAAACATAGACAGTGTGCTTAAATTTTGTTCGCGACAGACTGACAAGAACACAGAACTGCAAATGAAAGCGCCAATGATATAAAATACATATACTTACTGTGGTGATAGCTTACGCTGTATTGTATGTGAATACAGTCTACAGGTATGCACCAAAATTGCAGTGTTTGTTCAGTGATGTTTGTTCATTTAATGTGTATCAACTTCTGGTGACGTTTAGAGGGCCACTAACTTACTCTAGATAAATGGCAACTATTTGTCAGTGCTAACTAAAATGTGATCTACAATATGTTTGTGGTTGAGTTAAACATGGCCTGATTTCAGCAGGGGACGTGTTGTCTTTTTGTTAGAATGGAGGAAACATGGTTACAAATTTCTCTCCCCCTCCCATATTTCCTGTGGTTTGACTGAGGCCTTGACTACCTGTGCTAAATAACATGCCTGCAGATGACAAAAGTCCTGATAATAGGCAGGTTAGAGTTGCTTTTCAAACACTGTTTTCCAGTTTTACACATTTGTATTAAAGAATAGACAGATCCCCTGGACATCCACCTTTACATTTCTATAACCATTTCTTCTGATCACTGTACCATAATGTCTTTTTTAAGGATACAAATTGAGTCACAAGATGTCTCTTATTATGTGGGACCGTCCTTTGTCCCCGATGTCCCACATATTGATTGACTCTGCAGGATTTGCATTTGCACTGACTGAAAGTGCAAGTGCAAAGGATTTGCAAAAGTCTGGCTTTCACTAAGCTTGTGTGAAAAACGGAGGAAAGGCTTTTTAATATTTTTCAATTTCTAATGCTACTCCCATCAGGGAAAGACACCACCAAAAAGTCACAAGGCATCTGACTTTTAGTGGAAAAGACTGAAACAACCACAAAGAAAATAAAGGGAAGTTTATTTCACTTTGCGTTTTTGCCTCTTTGGATATAATTATGCTTCAGGTTCGTACTAGGAAAAATATAGCATGAAGTGACAATTAGCTGACAATGATAGAATTGTCAGCTAAAAAAAAACACTCAAAAATCAACGTTCATCCCTACTACTGAAATGCAAACAGACAGAACAAATAACATAAAGAGAAATATGGGATCATATAAGGAGTACATGATAAGAACATAGCTTCGTCTTCCCTTTATTCTTACATTTACTTGTAAACGTTGGAAAAGTTACTTTTAAATGTCATTAATTTGGCCTCTACATAATAAACTAAAATCTGGTAACCTGTTATTGGTAATGAAAATTTCTGACTACCTCAAAACATTGCTAACATGTCCCCACGGAGTCACACACAAAAATTATTGCTTTCCTCAAACTGGGGTCTGATCATCCTAGTTGCAAAATGTTTGAATGTTTTTCCAATGCTGCTAGAAAACGTCAACCTTCAATGGAAAAATCTTTGATTAGTTTTTTTTAGTCTCTCTATAAGTCACTGCAAGCAAGCACACAGAGGAGAACTTAAACTAACAGACTGACTTTTGCAGATATATTCATTTGAATTATGCAGTCTGAATCTGGACCTCAGATTAATGTTGGAATGCATTTTTACACACGACAGGAGAAATAACTGCCTGTGTTGGTGCTTCATTAGCTTTTAATGTCAGGATAAATATGTGTTGTCAGATGATTTCTATACTGTTTTTTATGTTATAGGCCAACGAATACTGCAGCTTCGACAAATCCATCTACAACTCCAGTTGTGTCTCCAACCACAGTGGCAAACAAAAGTAAGTGAATCTTTAATTATGTATGTCATTTTGTCTGACTGACTTCTTCTGAAGGTTAGGAGAGCCAGCAAAAACAATGAGCCCTAAGCATTCAAGTAGATCTTTAGGAAAAGGAGATTTGAAAACAAGATGTGATACTGTGGGTTTGCTTTTCAAGCTTTTTGATCCACACATCCCCAAAAATATTGCTGAGATAAAGCAGCTCTATTTAGAAGAATGGAAAAAATTCCTCCTGACCGTACTTCAGATTTGATCTGCAACTACTTAAAAAACACAACTGAGGCTCTCGGAGCCAGATTACTAAATGCACCAGCACCAAGAATAATAAATAATAAAGTTTAAAATTTTATTTTTCTTAAAGTATGTTAATGCAAACGCATTGTGTTGTCTATCCATGTATACCAGAAGATTACATCACATTATATAACCCACTAATGTTGAGAAGTAATTCCAAACTTGCTTCTTTTTTTTAATCGTACGACAGGATTGATGTCTACAACTGTTACACCAGCCTCAACTTCAACTCCCTTTCCAAACAAAGCTCTTGTTTCAACATCCAAGGCTTTCACGAATCCATCAGATCCTTATATAACAGAAATTCCACGTAACCGTTAGTGCTCATTTTATATTTTGACAACACATTTGATACATTAACTTACTGCCCTTGGTTTTGTAGTTTAGTTTTATAATGTATCACACTTGCTAAGGACATTTTATCAGGTTTAGCAGCCTCTGATTGTTATCCAATTTACATGGAGGATAAAGACATAATATGCTTACGTCAGAACTTATTGATGTGGAGTGTGTCTTTGTGTCCACAGCGGGGAATGCAGGAATTTTTCTTGCGATTCTCGTGATTAGCTTTGTGTTGCTCTCATGGTTCCTGCTGATCTGCACCATGAAGATATTCAAACACAAAGACAGTTTTTGCTGGAGGAGGAGGAAAGAGGCTGAAGTCTCCAAGAACGGTAATCTGCAGTAAATAAATCCAACAAAGTACCTGTGCGTTGTATTTAAGTACACATTTGAAGTGTTTGCATTTCATATGAGATTTGTGTAACTTTATCTTCTTTAAAACGTAATGGCACAAATTTGACCCTTAAGGTTAAATGTTACTTTTGTTACTTTTGTCAGTCCTTTTTTTCTATTGCCTAATTGTATTTTGTTCAGTGCAGGGTTTTACTATTTTTCAAGTGCTTTGAATTGAACAATCACTTTTATTCATCAGAGTATTTCTACAACTACCACTGAGCATTAATATACAGTACACAGAGTAAACAGTACAGGCACTTAGCGGTTCGGTAGATATTGACTGGGGACATTCATGTAGTTTTCATATGGCTAATATCAAAGTTATGTAAAGTACTACATGTAAAGTACTAGTATGTAAAGTACTACACTTTACATTACTTGACCTCTGGGAAGTTAAGATACTATGACACATCGCAACCAAGGACAAATTTTCTCATGTTACTCCTCACAATGTGAAATGTACTGTCCAGTTGTGCATTAAATAGAGGAATATCCATATTTTGTTCTGTTTTAAAAATGTGCCTTAGTGACTGAACATGTCTTGACTAACAGACAGGAAACTCAATGATAATATCTCCTTTCCTTTTTAACAGAACAACCCAGTCATCAAGGCAGTAACCCGACCACACTGGTTTGTGCTCAGTTTCATGCACTTCGTTTTCTTTAAAGATAGCAATCTAGGCAGGAACACTTACTGTAGGTGCACAGTGAGAATTTCTTGTACATAGTTCATCAAGATAATTAGCTCATTAGCTTATAATTAGCACACAAGAAAGGCAGAAAGTTTTGGTCATCCCTGTCATGCACTTCAAAGTTTGTACTCATGCTGTCTTGTTTGTTCTTTCAAGACGCTTACATTCTCTGAGGAAACTCCCATGTTGACTCTCAATCAGAGTCCAGCCATGTCAGAACATCCAACCCACATCAACACTCTCGTGCCAGTCAATGGCCAGATAGGTAAGACTATCTGAGTATTTGATCTCTTGCTAACATGCACGACATGCAAAATACTGGACTTTGTTAATTATGTGTTGATGATTTCTAATTAAAAAAACAAAACAAAAACACCCCCTGCAGAATTCTCGGAAAAGTTTATTTTAGTCTCAAAAGTCATTTCCTCATTCCCAATGTAAGGAGTGATTAAAATATTCCTTACTTTTAATAGGAGTTCAGTGAAGAAGGATAAAAAACCTCAAATTCGAGAACAGCCAACAATCAAACAGTCTGCATTTCTTTTTCTGTCATTCGGTATTAAATATTCACAGACAAAATCCTTCTCTGCCCTTCAGCACAGGCTTCCATTGTATTGCACTTTAGGGTAAATGTAACCATTTATGGTTTAAGACATAACTGGCAATATAAAACTGATAAATGTGACTTTATCTGCAACATTTTAGCAGGAAATAATTTCTTCTGCTACTACTTCTACTACTACGATCCCAGAAAATACTAGTTTTGTTACTAGAATCATGGGATTATCAGCTAAGAAGAACACCACATACCAAATGAAACTCAGTGGTGTTATAGATATTTTTACACATGAAGTGCAAAGGAAGCTTTTGCCATATTTTCAGAGACAATATGACTCATAAAAGGATAAACAACTTTCAACATTTATTCATTTCTGTATATATTATATCCTTTAAGTAGGCAGGAAAAAAACATCTCTCTCTTTCCCTATATACATATAGATATATATAGAGAGAGAGATATATTGATATAGATTTAGATAGATGGATAGAAGATTAGGGTCATTGCATCACGTCCTTCAGGACAAGTCAAAATGAGTTCTATACAGTACACACTATAAGGCTGAGTTATCTTTTGGTCACTTAGGAGTTTAAAACAGGCCAATCAGCACAAGCTGGGTAAATAATGTAGTTGCTTAAGAATTTGCTTCTACACCACAGTGTGATTTTTTTTTATTTCTGTGGTGAGCAGTAGAGATGGTGCATGCTGCTGCACTGAATTACTTAAGAAATGTGTTAATTTAGAGAGGAGGTGAAACCTATTGTTCGTAGCGCTTCAACTTTCTCCCCTCATTTAAATGACTGTGGACTTCATCCGAAGTGAGACTTAGGTATTGAATGCTGGAGGGTGTGATGGGCTTGGCTGTAAATGTTTGAGATAAGTGATGTGAAAACTGCGAGAAAAGTTGTAGAAGAGGAAGTGTTCAGCATTGAGTTTTCCAGTAAAGTTATTAGCATTTATGATCAGTGACACATGTTTTTATGACGCACCTAAATAGGTGGTAGATAGTAGGTCATAGCCAGAAAAAGTGGCATTTGGCATACTTTTTTTTTTCAATTTCATTGTTTCACAATTTAACAAATGCTTTCAGATAAAGTGTGATCCAAGCAGATTACCTTCAAAACATAATGATACCACGATTATAGTGTATGATGAATAAAACCAGGGGAAATTTCTCAGTTGTTTTACAATGAATGAAAAAGACATACACTTTAAAAAACTAAAAATATCAACATCAACATTAAACGAGCAATATTTCTAAAGCGTTAAGGAGAATAGCTACCCCTTCAAATACCTGCTTGTCTGCTTGTGTTGTTAAAAGGAAGCGCTATTTTGCTACTGCTAAATTGTTTAATTGAATTATATTAGTAAAATTAAAAAATGTTGCTGTTGCAGTTTCTTCCATCTGATAGAAGCGCGGTATACTATCTATAAGTGCTGTTGTTTTTACTTTTTCATCTCTTCTTGTTCACCATAGTGTTTATCAGAACCACATCTGTGGAGGTGGAAACTAGGAAATACAGCGTTCTTACTCGTTCGCATCAGTCAGCAATGTGACATTAAGTCAAATGGCAAGTCAGATAGTGAACACATGTGCCTGTTAACTGTGTCATATGGTAAACTCCTGATATTCAATGTAAGCCTTTCAAGCCTGTAGGTGTGCTTTAAATACAACTGCAGTTATTAGTGAGGTCATGTTGTTGTTGGCATTCACGGCTAAGATCAAAACCTGTTTTTAGTTTTGTGCTGTTTGAACTGGGGTGAGGATTATGCTCTGTTCTCCTCTTCATAAGCTTGAGATGGGACTTTTATTTGCGTTGTGTATTCTGTATCATTACGTCTCTTGACTGTTGTTGTCCTGTTATTACAAAGTGAGAAAGCTTTTCCACTTAGCAGACCAGTGCTGATATAATGTGGTCAAATTTCTCTGTATATCTTCTGAATTACTTAATTAGTAATTACTTTATTAATTAATTAGTTTTTCAGAATATACCATAATGCTGGTTGGAGGTTATAACGTGGGTTGTATTCAGTGGTTGAGAGGAGGCGGCAGAAAACACTCAGGATAGTCAAAAACTCACAACCACACTGGTACTGGGAATTCCACAGTGGTGTCCTTTAATTGACACACACATCACCTACCTTACAAGGCCCGGTTGAACAGCTGCTGCCTTGTCATACATGAAACACAGTGTTCCTACAACCTGTGACATTACTTTGAATTAGGAAGGTAAATATATGAGGTCCATGTCAGTCCACATCCATGCGCAAGCACGTTTCTCCCACACTCTACAGAGAGCAGTGACGCATACTTGTGACATCACTAAACATTAACTTAAATTGTCTTAAAGAGACACCACACAATTGTGACTGTTACAAAGTGTACACTGAATCATTAAAAAAAGCTTTCTATTAGAGTCAGTATATGCAAATCATCAGTTAAAGTCTTGAATTATGCCTAATTTCTTTATATACTTGCTTCCAAGGAGCCAGACTTTTAAAGCAGTCTTGACCAGTAGTTCTTCAGGCTTTCTGAAGGTCTTTCAAAGTTCTGTCTTTGGCCATTGGCTGCTTTTTCACTCATTCTCACTCTAAGTTAAGTGCGCATGCGCCAACCAGCGTGCAGCCTGTTACAGTCACTTTTTTTAAAATAATTTCCCCCAGGGATCAATAAAGTATTCTGATTCTGATTCTGATTCTGATCATTTTCCGACGATTTTTTTTGGTTCGTTTATTTTGCCACTTCACACTGACCTATGACTAACTCAAGCATAAAAAAGACACCTCACTCAAGGAATGAATCAGTGTTGTGTTAACACATTAGAGACAAAAAAAAAACGTAGCAAAAAAATTGTTTTTTTTTCAGTTGTTGTCCACGCAGCTTAACACGCTGTTAGTGCAATAAAGGCATACTGGATAGAAAAACACGTAGTAGAAGGCTATCGGTCATGGATCGGCTTTCCTAGAGCCTGAACATCAAAGTTATTGAAGCAGTGACAGAGAACGGAATGAAAAGCAGCCAATGAAAAGCTTTGAATGTGCTCCAAGAAGCCTGGGGAACTATTCCCAAAGACTAGTTAAGGAAAGTGCAGTAAAGCATACCTAAGAGAGTTCAGGCTGTGTTAGATAATATAGGTGGTCACACAAAATCTTGACGTTCAAGCTCATTAGAACAAATTAACTCTGTTTTGCCCTTATTTAATGCATTTCTGTGGATATTTGCACCTCTTTGCTATTTTCTTTGCAAAATATTGAGCCATGATGGATGGCTCAAGACATTTGCACAGTACGGCACACTGTAACAATGCTGATCTTAAACATGACCAAAGTTTTTGCCAGTGAGTCCAGTGTAAGGGGAAAAAAACATTAAAAAACACTTGCTGTTATCACTGCTTATCATTTCACATTAGTTTCTCTAATCGTGGAAATGGATGACGACAGTGACTCACAGATATCCTAACAGGGTGGTCACAAACAGGAAGCTCTTAGAAGCAGCAAAATTGACTTGTTTGAGACAGGAGGTGAACTGCTGCGCAAATGCTCTATTTCACATAAATACAGATTATTTTAACCTCAGACTAACGCAAAACAAGCAGCTCAGTGCCCTGTGTCCTCTGACTGTTAATTATTCTCTCCTTCCAGTTGCCAGACGAAATGACCACGCAGATCACTGGCCGGCCATCGTCCTCTACGCGATCATCAAGGAGGTGCCCTTGCATAGGTGGAAGGAGTTCTTGCGTCTGCTTAAGGTGACTGACCAGCAGATGGCACGAGTCGAGATGGAGACTGGTTTCAGTCTCGGCTCCATGGAGAAGCAGTACCAGATGCTGAGGCTGTGGAGCCAGCACTCTTCCTCCAAACTCAGTGATATTTTCTCAGCCTTACACTACATGGAATTATCCGGCTGTGCACAGATGCTCCAGGAAAGCCTGGAACAGCTGCAGTGGACGCCTGACCAGAGACAGGCACTCACAGCCATTTGAATGGAGCAGTGTGGGACAACTGAGGCTGTACCTGGCGGCACAAGTGTAATGCTATCTATAACATGACTGGAAACATAAATTATTCAGCCATGGACGCTGGTGTGAAAGATTAGACACTCGCTGGAAAGGACATTACGATCTGTAGCCATATAGTACAACCCTAGAAACCTGGAACAATGTCGTAAATATCCCGTACTGAGTAATGCAGACGTAGATTAAAGCCAAATAAAAACATCTGATAAACTGGAATGTAAAAAAGTGGACCCTTATTTCATGTTAAGACAGAAACCTAAAATGTTGAATGTAAACACATGAAATAATGGATTCGTAGCAGTGCAAAATGCAGTTTCGAACATCAGGTTACTTCCTCAAGAGCATCATTAGCATTTTTAGGAACCACATAACACCTCTTAACACACTCGTAATATTCTTGTAGCCTACAGTAGGTGGAGACAGTAAATAAATAAAAAAATACTGAGGGAAGTCCCCTTCCCTTAACTAATGGCTGCTGCCAAAAGTTGTTTAGAACAATGTAACCTCCAGTTTTTTGTGTGGTGCCTCTTAAATGCCAGCAATGGAGGCTGCGGTTTTTACAGCAGTACTGCAATGTACATGTATAATTGGGAGGTGTTTGTGCTTAAAGGGTAAGCAAGGAAGTTGCACTTCCTTAGTGTAGTGTACGTGATTGTTTTACCTCCACAAGTCTGTGCTTGAGATTTCTCTGTTTTTTTCCCCTTTTGACTTGTCAAAGGACAGACTTTTTCAGTCTGAATCTTTAAACTGTGCGTGTGCGTGATCACTCCGTGCACATCTGGGATGTTTGTGCAGCACAGCTGCAGACGTCTCCCTCGTTTGGTATAACAACTCAGCCACTGATTGTTATTGTGCACTCTCGCAAAGGAAGAAAACTGAAATCCCCAAAGGACGTCAGTTTTTCAGTTTCCTGCAACTAAATGGTGTCAGTGTTCAGCATGCTGGGTTTTTCCTCACCACACATATTCCATTTGAACGGATGGTTCTCACTTGTGGTATTTGGGTATCTCACTTTGAGAGGTTTTTTTGTGTGTCTATGTGTGTGTGTCATTATACTTCATTGACAGTAAAGGTCTTGGATTTTCCCATTTAAGATGTTTATTTAAGAAAGTTTTAATGGGAATGTAGGCCACTTTCCCTGAGATATAAATATTTGTATATGTTTTACAGGTTAAAGTATAATTGTTTTTTTATTTATGATCCATTTGTATGAATATTTGTGTGGTGCAGAATAAACTGAAAGTGAAAATCTTAATGTTTTTCATCTCATTGTGGTCTTTAGTGGTACGCTGTTATGAAAACGTGCTACTGTAAAACCCCAAATCAAAATGTCACCTGTATATGTATATGTCATGAATAAAATGTTTGGCCACAAGGTGGGAGTATGGACTGTATGTTTGAACCGCAGCAGCTGGTGTGCATTTGTAAGCGCACACACACCCCACCTACAAAGAAAATAGGAGCACAGTACTTGAAGAGCTTTTATTCTTGAGTTGGATTACACCCATGAATTGCAAATTTGGGCTAAAAGCACAAAGAACAGCTGCCTTATATTGTTCATAGTTACTGGATGGAAAAATAACAGATCCCTTACAGGACCACATTCACTTTATGTGTTTACATGCAGCTTCAAAATTTATAGCATTATTCTTCTGCTGTCATGTAGATATGCTGTCAGGCTGCACATCACCATGTGTTTGCCATGTTTTAACCACACCAGTGTCACCTGCCAAAAAAGGGATTTCCAGTATTTCTCAATAAATAAATAAATAAATAAATGAAAGATTACCAGAACTGAAACTGCTCTAAATGACTTGTTGGCCTTTACTGTCACCTATATCTCACAAATGATATCACGTCATATAACAAGCTATGCAGAGTAAGAAACACTTCTTTTACAAGGTAAAGGTTTTGTACTTATTTAACCAGGTGAAAAGATTTATTGAAGGTAGAAATGTGATTTTCACATCACACTTGGCCAAGTGGGCAGTAGAAACCGCAAGAAGTTGAACACAGCAGATATTTTAAGTGTCCAAAAAAAAGTTTGGACAGATGATAATGTTGAACACAGAGTAGGCACAATAAAGCAGTCATAAAGATCTTTGCAAAACAGGTCATTTCTTTAGTTTATGTATATATAAAGGCTTTGTAAATCCTCTTGACTACTGCCTTTTTATCAGTTTATATTTATCAATATAAACACAGAAAATCACTTTTTGGCATGGGGTGGCTTTAATTTTTTTTTTTAATAAGAGGTTAAAGATGAAGTTAATTTAATTTTCCTTATGTCTTGATCTTTTTCTTTTATATCATGGGTAGGTGTTATATACGCTGTAGCTTCAACCTACACCTTTTCGATTTGTCATTTCTTCTTTTCTTTTAATCATTTCGTGTGCTATAAATGAACCGAATAAAGACAGTTAACCACCGGGAGCACCAGCTACAGCACAGTTTAGAGGCTAACTAAAGACGGATTTAGCATTTTTTTTTTAATCTCTTAAAATGTCTGTAGGAAAATGAACGGCTCTTTGGAGGTATTTCCAAATGACATATTTCCCCCCTTTCGCACCGTTTTTCGTGCTCCCAGCAGCATATCTTTAAGCGTTAACGCCGAGTTAGCGTGAAGGAGCAGGAGATTTTTATCAACAATTTTACGCAGTGTCGCCAATAAGGAAGCTGCAGGCTTCCTACGTTTTCTGTGGTTTTCAAGTAAGCACGAGGGTTAATGGTTTCTATTGGCAACCGGACCCGGATTCTCAAAAACAACAGCTGGCGACGTAAACCGTCCCGTCCTGAGAAGAGACGCGACACAGCCTGGAGGAGTTTGTCGAGACAAAAAGGTTTTTGTGGTTTGTGTATGTGTGGTTTCTTATTATTATTATATAAATATATATTATGCTGTCTCAGTGCCACCTGTTACACACTTGAAAAAATTCCGCTGCAGCTTCTGTTTTGTGAGCGTTGACCTGGATAGCTATTGAATTACAAACATGGAGGACAGTTTTCTTTTGTCGGGACGTCTAATTCAAGACAATAAGTTGACGCTACCCGTGAAATAGAATTTTAAAGACATTTTTAAGTCTTGAGGGATTCAGTATACTGTTGTTGTCAAAAAAGCCGCAGTAACAGGTAGGTTAACAATGGCTCAATAAAAGCCACTGGTACAAATCCAGTCAAGTCGATTTTATTTTACCAGTTCCCTTTGCAGTAGATAAAGTCTTTCTTCTTTTGTCAATGGTAATCTTATTTTGTGTGTGCGTAAAATTTCACCAAACTAATATCAAGTCAGAACAATACAAATACATAGTTATAAATAATAGAAAACACTGTGCAAAAGTTTCAAGCCACTCCTTATGTCTTTAAATTTGGCATCCAAGTAACAAATTTAAGCAACATACTTACCTTCATACAAGACTTTTTTTTTCATTTTTCATTTTTACAGTGTTACTGAGGAATAGTTCTCCAGGCTTTCTGAAGGTCTTTCAAAGTTTTTTTCTTTTTGGATGTTGGCTACTTTTTCACACCTTTTCACTCCAGATTTTGTACCTGATAATTTTCAGATAAATAAATTTTTTTTTTCGGTTATTTTGAACAACTTAACAATGCAATAAAAAGCATAAAAAGTCTTCTAACCCAAGAGTTGAACTAGTGTTGTGTGTACACATAACAGAAAAATTAGCAATTTTATCTTTTTTTTTTACTAGCAGCCTGTCATAAAACATAATGTGTTTTTCTTTAGTTAAATATATTTTTAAAAATACCAAAAATAAAACAATTGTATTTTTGCACCAACAATTGTGATTCTCAAAGATCTATTAGTTGATAAATGTTCCATACTGAGTAATCAGTATAACTCAGTATAACAATATCTTACCTAAAATCCTGAATAATCTGTACTTATGTGAAATATCCTGAATAAAAAACTCAGGAGTCCGCACTAGTAGTAGGAGAAAAGAAGAAGTGGCAGGTCTAAAAAGAATTACAGGAGATGAACAGTATCTTAAGAAAGAAGATAAGAATTAAGAAACAGGGGGGGGGAATCCACCATAGATTTGTCACAGGAACTGAGAGATGGATCTGGCTTTTCAGTTCATATGATATTATTCATCAAAGCTTGATCAGAAATGGCTTTTGTGTATGGGAGGCTGTCGAGGGAAACTAGGAGAAAAGGCTGAGATATTGCAAATTACACAAGAACTGGACTGAAGATCAGAAGATCAATCCAAATTTCAAATCTTTTGGTTCAAATCTTTGTCAGTATGTGCAGAAGAGGTCTAGAGAGTACAACAATGAGTCTCTACAGCATTCTGTAAAGCATGATGGAGGCTCTGTCGTGGTTTGGTGCTGTATTTCAAATAATGGTGTTGGGGATCTTGTCGAAATTGATGGAATTATGAACTCTATGTTGAAGAGTAAAGGTGCTTGTTTATGCTTGTTTTTATTACTTCTTCTTCTTTTTCTTTTTTTACATTTCAACATGTGACAGATATAGTTTATCCTCATTTCCTCCGTTAACCATTAGACTACAATGTTGTAATTGCTTTCAACAGCCATGAACAATCCCGCCATTTGAGCAATCATGACTGCTTTGGTTCGACCTGGAGTCAATATTTCAGAGATATGTAAGGAAGGAGACAAGTTCCTTCGGAGCGGTGAGCTGGAGAGAGCCACCTCCTTGTACATGTCTGCCTTCAGGACTCACGCCACCTCTGCGGTGTCCCACATGAGAAAACTGGATAAGTCCGGTCTGGATTTGGTGATCGCTACTCTAGAGGGCTGGCTTGACAGTCATGTGAAGAATCAGCCTGCAGAGGGTCTTAATAAAGGTCTTGCTGCTGTTTTCCTCTCCACACTCAGTCCCAACAATCTGTTAGCCACCATTTACAAAATGGAGTCTCTTCTTCAGAGTGACACGCATGCCTGTGAGGAGATTCTTGCTCGTTGCACTGCTATGCTTGAAGGGAAGCGGAACCTTCCTCCAGAGGGTTCAACTCATGTTTTGTTAGAGATAACTCGAGCCCTCGCCTGCTTGTTATCAGAATCTCACAGGTTAAAGGGACTAAAGATTTACCTCAAAGCTTACCGGAATAGCAAGTCTGAAACTGTCACACTGGTGAAGAGCAGACAAGCGGGATACTTACCCAAAATAGTGAAGGCCTTTGCAGAACAAATCATGCTCATACATCCCACTCTGGTAGTTGACAGCAAGTGGAGAGTGGGAACAAAGGACAATGACAAGCTTGAAGAAGAAACTTCTGCTACTGTTATTGAGTTTTTGCTGTCTATTTCACCTAGTAACAAAGAAGTACAGGAACTCAATGCAGCATATTTGTTTTTGATGGGCAGGTTTATGGACAGTGCAGAGGCATACTCTTCCCTCTTGCAGTATGCTCATGGCCAGAAAATACCAGAGAGTGCTATAGAAAAATTGCTCCAAGAAACTCCTGAGAGGACAGCCAGACTCTTGACAAGCCGAGCAGCTGCTTGCTTTTCAGCAGGTGGAAAGATTGCAGAGGAGTGCTCAGATTTGGGGAAAGCATTTGAGACTCACCCAGCCACTGCCCGAATTTACTTCCAAAAGCTGTTCAAAGATCAGGGAACTGGGGTGGCAGCTTGCAACCATCTCCGTCAGCAGGCGGAGAGAGGCCTGTCTGATTACAGAGATCAGGTCCTTGTCCGGGCAGATCTGCGATCTACTGAAGGAGTTGAACTTCTGGACCCTGTTATCACTCAGTTACGGACCCTGTGCCATTTAGAACCTGGTGGGGGAGACAGAGAGTTGCGGGTCCGACTGGCTGATTGTCTTCTCCTCAGAGGAGAGCACAAAGAGGCCCTCTCTATCTGCAGCCAGCTAGCTGCCGCACAAGGTCAGCAGAGCTATCAAAGCACGGTCCACGTCCTTCGCGGATATGCACGATTGCTCTCTGATGACCAGAAGGGTGCATTAGAAGACTTTCAGGCTGTGATTGAACACAATGCCCCCCACCCATCCAGCTGTGTGCGAGCACTTTGTGGCAGGGGCCTCCTGCGAATGATGGGTGGCTTAAACTACCTGACTGCTTTAGACTATGTGACAGCCAGCAGGCTGCATGCTCAGGAAACAGCATTTGCTGTGCGCTGCTTGGTACCCTGGAACTACCGTGGGCTGCTGTTTACTGTTCTGCTGGAGCAGGGACGATTCATGCTTGAAGGGTCTAGAGATCACAAACCCAAGTCCAGTTCTGGTGAAGACTCCCAACAGCACCAAAAGGAGGAACATATGCAGACCCTATCAAAGAGGGACAACCACAGATCAAGGTATGTTTGTTTTAGATATGGTTTACTGAGCAATGCTTTCTCAGAGAAAATATTTTGGCATGTCACAGCAGGAAAAGTCTACTTTATTGCATGGTATGGTCTTTGTTGTGTGTTTTCTCAGTGTGATTGTTGTCCCGTTGTGTTTTTTTTCTGCTTTGTACGTTAGGACTCCTGCTGGTGTCCATTCCCTTGCTCTGTTGCTGATGGAGCTCCAGCCCAGTGCCGATGGGCCTCAGATCTTGGCAGCAGATGCCTTGTACCAGCTTGGTCGGGTGGAGGAGGCTTACCGATTGCTGCTGTCCATCGGGCCCACCAATCCTCGGGCACCTATCTTGGCTCGCCTTGCTTTGCTGCAGCTGCACAGAGGCTTTCTTTATGACACCAATCAGGTATATAAGTTTGAGGTACCAATTTTTCATGTTTAAATGGATTCAGGATTTTTTGTTTCCTGTTTAGGAAACCTAATTTCACACTTGCTTATTTTGTAAAACATATATAAATAAAGCAGGAAGCTGAGTGAAAGCAGAGTGTAGTTCATTATTAGTAGTTTTGGGGAAACACCTTTGTTTATTTAACTAGTTTCCTTTGAATAATTTCTGGATGCACCTTCAAAGTAATTACATTCATGATATAAGGAGCTATGAGGGCTCAAATGTGAAAAAATCTTCAGCGATCAATTCACTTCTAAAATTACCTGATAAGTATCCAAATGTCTGATTTCAGTGTGCGGTAGCTACAGTTTTGTTTTGAAAAGTGTAGCTTTGAGTTTAAAAAAAATGTTAACAATGATTTTAACCACCGAATAGTCCTGATTTACTCTTCATGTCTGTCAATTTTTTCCTGTAGCTGCTGAAAAAGCTCATCTTGTGTGGTGATACCAGCTGCTTGCGCCCCCTGTTGGCAGTGGCACAACAGAAAGACAGAGCACTGCTGCAGGGACACTCCCACTCAGCTGCAAAACGCATTTTGGACCGAGCAAGCGAGGAATGTGCTGTCAGAGAGGCTGTGGCATATCTCTCCATTGCAATTATGGCCTCTGGTGAATAGAATCTGTTTGATGAGTTGTTGATATTTGGTACTGATCTGTTGCTAACTATTGATAGTATTAACATTGTTGGTTGTTGCATGCAGACTGGAGTAATGATTTGTGGAATTCAGCACAAAACCCAAGCTTTTTTTTAGATTTCACTTTAAAATGTCTTGCAGAACATAACACAAATTACAGATGAGGATAGAATAATTACGCCCACAATGAAAATTTCAGTTTTTAAAAAGTATTTCCAGATGCCGGTAAACAGAGAGACAACTTTTTGACACAGCTTTTCCAAACATCCTATTTTTATTTTGGATGATTAGTTGATTTTTACGGAGCACCGCAAGGGACATGGGAGAAAAAAAAATTACGATGAACTTTTGCGATGTCTTTTACTTTGGACATAGAAACGAAATTATTCACAATAACTGCCAGAGTCAAATTATTAGCCTCCATGATGCTAACAGTTAGTTGGGCATCATTTTTGTGTAGTGTGTAGTCGTTTATTATAGTTTTCAACAAGTCTGAAATCAGGGCTTTTTACAAGCCAGTCAATAACATTCACTTTGGTCTCCTGGAATTAGTTCTTCACCTGGAGTCCCATATATTTTGGGTCGTTATCATGTCAGACAAAGTGATGACCCAGACCCAGTTTTGCTGCTGATTGGTTGAGGTGTTCTTTTAAAATCTTCACAAATCCATCTTAGTTTGTGATTCCTTCCACTGTGACGAGATTCCTATTTCAAGCCGCACTGAAGCATCCCCACAGCATATTACTCCCACCGCTGTGTTTTTCTCTGGGTACAGTGTTCGTTGGGTTATACAGCAGCGTCTCTTTGGCCAAAGAGCTCTAGTTTACAGGCAGCATATTCTTTCTGCAGGGTGTCTTTAGTATATTACAGTCTTATTTGAAAGTGTCTCTTGTGCAGTGGTGGAGTTTTTTTCTTGCAGTCTATTCCTGTGCAGGGCTGCAGTGACTGTCTTTTTTGAGACTACATTTCCCAACTTGGCTAAGTCATTCACAAGTGTCTTTACATATCTCTCTCAGTAGTTTTTTTTTTCCAGAGTCATTGAAATCGTTTGCTTCCTACCTCTACCAGGCTTGTTCTGTATTGTGTGGCTCTCTTAGAATTTCTTAATGATGCTTATCACTCCAGTCCACTCCATCTCCTGCTTTATGCACATCAAGATTTTTTTTTCTCAAGCTAAACTGATTTTTGTGTTTTTGGCATGATGGTTTTTCAAGTGACAGCTCAAAGCCTTGCTGAAGTTTTTATACTGTTTGCCATTTTTACAAGCCTTGAGCATTACAATGTTAAACTACATTATATCACATCAGTGGTTTGGGCTTTGAGTTTTTAAGGGGGCTAATTATATTGACTGTGGTAATTCTTGTTTCTTTCTGAAATAATTCTGTTATTGTGTCCAAATAGAAATAATTTTAACTGAAATTTTAAATATCATTGGGAGAAATGAATGAACTGAGCATTATGTCCTCATCCGTAGGTAGATTAGCCATGCATTATTTAACCACACATCTTTTGTGGTTAAACATAAGACCTGAAACCAACTTCTACTGTGTGTATTTGAATCTATGATTTATTTTACACAAATATTGAAACTGACACTAAAATGAGATTACACATACATATAAAAACAGTCAATTCATTGTTTTTCTCAGGTGGCGAGGCAGCTGAATCACTACTAGAAAGAGCGAGGTGCTACGCTTTGCTGGGTCAGCGAAAAACAGCCATATTTGACTTCAGTGCCATTCTGAAGGAGCATCCGAAACACGTGCATGCCCTCTGTGGAAGAGGTTTCACATATCTCATGCTGAATCAACAAAAGGTTTTTTTTTTCCTCTAGTCTTATCTATCATTGAAACTCGATACTATTGCCCTTTTTGTTCAGGTGGTTATAGCTAAGTGCTTGAGTGATATGTTGCTTGTGAAACAGCTGTAGCGTAAAACAACCTGAGATTCCTTACTATTAAGTCAAACTAAATTATTGTACAATTATTAAATAAAATGTTCTCCTCTGGGCTTTCCTGATAACAGGAATTTAAGCATTCGAATAATTTAAGCAACAATCATAGCTTTAAAACATACAGGGAGTGCAGAATTATTAGGCAAGTTGTATTTTTGAGGAATAATTTTATTATTGAACAACAACCATGTTCTCAATGAACCCAAAAAACTCATTAATATCAAAGCTGAATGTTTTTGGAAGTAGTTTTTAGTTTGTTTTCAGTTTTAGCTATTTTAGGGGGATATCTGTGTGTGCAGGTGACTATTACTGTGCATAATTATTAGGCAACTTAACAAAAAACAAATATATACCCATTTCACCATTTCAATTATTTATTTTTACCAGTGAAACCAATATAACATCTCCACATTCACAAATATACATTTCTGACATTCAAAAACAAAACAAAAACAAATCAGCGACCAATATAGCCACCTTTCTTTGCAAGGACACTCAAAAGCCTGCCATCCATGGATTCTGTCAGTGTTTTGATCTGTTCACCATCAACATTGCGTGCAGCAGAAACCACAGCCTCCCAGACACTGTTCAGAGAGGTGTACTGTTTTCCCTCCTTGTAAATCTCACATTTGATGATGGACCACAGGTTCTCAATGGGGTTCAGATCAGGTGAACAAGGTGGCCATGTCATTAGTTTTTCTTCTTTTATACCCTTTCTTGCCAGCCACGCTGTGGAGTACTTGGACGCGTGTGATGGAGCATTGTCCTGCATGAAAATCATGTTTTTCTTGAAGGATGCAGACTTCTTCCTGTACCACTGCTTGAAGAAGGTGTCTTCCAGAAACTGGCAGTAGGACTGGGAGTTGAGCTTGACTCCATCCTCAACCCGAAAGGGCCCCACAAGCTCATCTTTGATGATACCAGCCCAAACCAGTACTCCACCTCCACCTTGCTGGCATCTGAGTTGGACTGGAGCTCTCTGCCCTTTACCAATCCAGCAACGGGCCATCCATCTGGCCCATCAAGACTCACTCTCATTTCATCAGTCCATAAAACCTTAGAAAAACCAGTCTTGAGATATTTCTTGGCCCAGTCTTGACGTTTCAGCTTGTGTGTCTTGTTCAGTGGTGGTCGTCTTTCAGCCTTTCTTACCTTGGCCATGTCTCTGAGTATTGCACACCTTGTGCTTTTGGGCACTCCAGTGATGTTGCAGCTCTGAAATATGGCCAAACTGGTGGCAAGTGGCATCTTGGCAGCTGCACGCTTGACTTTTCTCAGTTCATGGGCAGTTATTTTGCGCCTTGGTTTTTCCACACGCTTCTTGCGACCCTGTTGACTATTTTGAATGAAACGCTTGAATGTTCGATGATGAAGTCCAGACGCTTTTCTTTGCAAGCTCCTTTGACTACGATGACCTGGATGACTGAGAACCTTCACAGACATTTCGATGATCACGCTTCAGAAGCTTTGCAATTTTGAGACTGCTGCATCCCTCTGCAAGATATCTCAGTATTTTTGACTTTTCTGAGCCTGTCAAGTCCTTCTTTTGACCCATTTTGCCAAAGGAAAGGACGTTGCCTAATAATTATGCACACCTGATATAGGGTGTTGATGTCATTAGACCACACCCCTTCTCATTACAGAGATGCATATCACCTAATATGCTTAATTGGTAGTAGGCTTTCGAGCCTATACAGCTTGGAGTAAGACAACATGCATGAAGAGGATGATGTGGACAAAATACTCATTTGCGTAATAATTCTGCACTCCCTGTACAATTATATAATGGGATAAAGCCTCACCACATATGTTTTTTTTCTTCTGGTGGACCTGAGAAATGTCTCTTAAAAGACATTTTCAGTATTTATTTTCAGTAATTGCAGAAAATGAACCCAGGACCTGACTAAATGTAACAGTGGTAGCTAGTTTAAAGCCCTTTTGGTGTAGCCTGGAGAGCGTATATCATATTACTCTTACACCTTGCCTCCTTGATATTAAAGTGTTAATTTATCAGTCTGTGTTTAGAGAAATTGCTTCAGTTTTATAATATTGTAATAATAAAATCACTTTCGGTGAAATGCCCCACAGGGACCCTAATGTTGAATTAAGAATAAAAATTAATGCCAAGGTTTCCAAGGCTACTTTCTCTCTTCGTATCATTGAGCCTATAACCTAATTTGAGTTTTCCCCTAAACATAAAGCGACACCTTGTGGCTTTCTGGGGAAATCTGTTTGAAAAAGGGGTGCCACAGAATTGTGATCTGTATAAATATACCAGTCTTATGCTAACACTTATTAACATGGTCTAGAAAAATTATGAAAAGTATGATATGCATGTTGGACTGCATGTTGAAATAAAGTATAACATTTGAACTCTGTTCTCCCTCTAGGAATGTACTCATGATATCCTGGCAGCACTTCAGATAAATGCTGACATAGTGACCAAAGACATTCTTTCACTCAAGGACAGGGCACAGAAGCTGGTCTGTGATTGGCTGCATCAGTTCTGTCGTACCAATCTGTCAGATATTGTGGCCACTCATGGTGTTCCCTGCCATGAAGAGCAGCTTAGAGAGGCTTTCATAATTGGTGGAGCTTTGATGAGGGCTGACTGTAGAAACCCCAGATGGCATCTGCTCTATGTGGACATCCTTTTGGCAAAAGGTGAGATTGTGGGGGAAATTTTCTGAGCCGGATCCTTGCTAGGATTGGAAATCATCTGCCTAGCAGCTTATGGCTTAGGCTGTGTGACGTTTCCAATTTGACAAAAAGCACTATTGCACCTGTCATCCCCTGTTCTCAGTAATCCATACTTCTGTTATGGTCCACCTGCTCCAGGTGAGGTCAAATCAGCAGGCGTGCATCTGTGCCAGATATTTGGCCAGGAGCCAAGAGATGCAGTGGCCCAGGCTCGGGTGGGTGTGGTGGATGCCTGGCAGAAGAAGTACTGCAGCGCAGCTCGCAGGCTCAGCAAACTGGCTGAGAAGGATTCATCCTATTTTGACTTCTTGCTGGCTCTCATCCCATTTAATCAGCGGAAATGCATGGCACAGGTAAGTGTACAGGAAACCCAGATTTAGTACCAGATGAGCAGATCTGCCAAAGTTGTTTGTTCTGGCTTTGTCAGCGTTATTTTTCATCAAAAAAAAAAAATGTTTATGTCAGGATATTTCCATGATATTACAAAAACCCCATGTTATTTCTCTCTATTGAACCAATGGGTGTTATAGTTGTATGTATATATTCTATGTATGTATTTTCATTTATGGTAAAATACAGTACAAACATGTGGCGGGTCCACCATCTCACAATGACTATCTTAGATGCCTAAATTAGATGGCAAAGTCAATAATGTGAATCTGATACATATCTACTCTAAACTACATGTACACTGGGACAGGAAGCAGCTCAGGAGGCCAACAGTGTGTCATCATGTGGTCAGTGGAAGCAGGCGCTCACCCTCCTGACTGTGGCAGTACAATCAGGGGGCAGTCAGAGAATGGAGTATCTTCACCAGCGGGCTGTGTGCCTGGCACAGCTGGGCTTACATGAGCGGGCTATATCTGATCTGGACAGAGTTATACAGAAACACGATGGACCTGACTACAGCTGTTCAGACCACCCTCAAGTCCGGGTGGAGGATTTGTGCTTGCGAGGTCGCAGCCTGGTGCTCTGCTCCAAAGAAGGGCCAGCTCTGGAGGACTTCATCCGGGCCCTGGAGCTCAACAGAGAACAGGCCATCAAGTGTGTGGAGGCTGGGCTAGGAAAACTGCCTCTGGCTGAGTGCTTCCTGCGGGGGGCGCTGCAGCATTATGGGGAGCAACATCTCAGTAAGGCTTGGACCTTGATTGAATGTGGCCTCCTTTTGGACAGTGAGAACACAGAGCTCCGCAGACTGAGGGCAAAAGTCAAACGAGAAGTGGCCAATCCTTGCAACGTGAACTAGTGTTGACTGTGAACTGGACACAGAATCTCCAGTGGAGCCGCAAAAGCTCCAATCAGGTCAATGTCCTACCTCAAAATTAGAAACAAAGAAAAGAAAAACCTAATCCCAATCATTTTGTTATGCTCAGCTTCCTAAATTTCATGGGATGTTTGGTGCTTCCAGAGCACCCATTGCTACTGTTCATATTATTCCCTCAAAGTTCAGTTTAAACTTACAGGATTAACATCAGTGTCTTTACGATTACATCAAAGCAAAAATATTTATTATAAGAGGAGTAAGTGAATTAATATTTAACACCACAAACACTTATGACATAAAACATTAGCAATGTAATTAATATGATAATCACAAAAAACAATAACTATGCTATCATAATGTATAAGCAAAATCATTCAGCGTTCAATGCTGTCACACCTAGATAAGTGATATAAGAAAGTGCCAAGTGTGCAGGTTTTATGCTTTTCAAATGAAGACAAATCTTTAATCATATCCATGGTGGCAAACACAATTTAGCACTCAGAAGTACATGTGATTATAAATACTGAAATTTAGTTCACACTGCTGCCATTGGAGAATAATTAAACATAATGTCAAAACACAAGTAGTTTTCACTGTGCCTCTACTACGACTTTTTGCATTGTATGATGTATATAGCATTAGATTTATGCATATACTGCTCATGTAGCTGAGATGAAACATTCACTGTGGTATTATGCATACACAGTAATGTATTGTGGTTCCATATTGCCAAAGTAGGACTTCTCCCACTCACTCATGAGGTCAAAGTGCAGTGGGCGGTCACAGAAGGTGCAGGAAGCGGTCGCCGGGCCATTGAGCAGAAGACCTGCTTCCTGCCAAACATCCACCAGTTTCCCTGTGAATGATAAAAGTGTTTGTAAGAATAAACAGTTAAATGTTGATATTTATTTTCTTTTAAAATGTTTAAAAGTTCTGGTCTGATTATTCTAGCACGTGCCATTTTTTAAGCTCCCCATAGAGCACGGTCATTTAGGGGAGCAGGTCAATGTCAAGAGAGCCACAATGTCTTGTGGGAAAACATTTGCACTGACCATTATCCCCATATTTTGCCAGATATTTAGCAGAACACCTCTGACCTAATTACAGCAAGTGGCCTCACACTCACCCACAAAGTACTCCATCATTTTGGGGTTGTGATGAGGAGATGGAGCCAGTCTCAGCAGCTCCTCACCACGAGGCACTGTGGGGTAGTTGATGGCCTGTACGTAGATGTTGTGCCTCTCCAGAAGGATGTCACACACCTTGGTGTTCAGCTCAGCGTTGCCCACCTGGAAAATAAATCATAAAAGATGGCACGTGTCATTTAGGAGAAACTTTTATTCTGCACAGTTAGGTAGTGCATACATGGATGAATCGTTTTACTCAGCCTGTAGAGTCTAGATTAGATCTCTGGAATAATTATGGGCTGCTTAATTGGTTAGTTCTACTCAAAATTTCAATCTGTTAAAAATAATAAAAAATTCTAAACTAATTAAATAAACTGGTATGCAGTTGTTCAAGCCTATTATACAATTTTAAGACTCAGTTTACTTAATTGTTTACTTATTTGTGCAATTTAATCACGATTAAAGACTATAACTAAGTCTGTGTTACCCTCCCGACTTCATCTGACCTACGTTGTACTTTCTAGGTTTATAAAATGAATAAGTATTATAATATATATAATAAGGAAAATCAGGTTTAACTAACAAGTGATACTGAAATAGCGGTGGCTGTAATCCAGTGTCCATTTAGCTGTGCTAAATCTTTTTACCCGAATGGGGATGATGTGGCTGGGGCAGTTGACCACCGGTAGGCCTTTATCCATGAGCAGCTGCCTCATGTGTTTGACATTCCTCTGGTGGGCTCTGCGGAGCGCCTGCCCCTCTTCACTCTTCAAGACCCGCACAGACTCCAGCGCTCCGGCCAGGACCATCGGGGGAAGGGCCGTTGTGAAGATGAAGCCGGCTGCGTAGGAGCGCACTGTGTCCACCAGGGCAGCGCTGCTGGCGATGTAGCCTCCCACACAGCCAAAGGCTTTACCTGAAATAGTAACAAATGACAGATTCTATGTAAAGTGGTGGGGAGAGCATTTATTAAGTGTAAATAAAAATGACATACTTTTTTTTTTCTTACATTGCCATTTTGTATAACTTTATTATTTCTACATTAATACATTTCACAGGTGTAAATTTTTTTTAAGTTATTTACATTTTTATTGTAAAAATATGATTATTGTGACATAAATATATAAACATTGAAAAAAGCAGAATGCATAAAAAATTTACACAAAATGTATTAAGTCTGAATCAAATGAATTTTAATATTTCTAACACACCAGCTAAAACACTCCCAAGTCAATTTGTATCAGTTTCTTAGTTAAGTTTCATCATTATTTTTTTCATTTACTGTCATGTGAACTGTTGTAACCAGACTTTGAAAAAGTCTGATGTTGTAATCCAGGATTAATTCACAAGGATTTCTACCAAAAGCCTTGCATCAAGTTTGACACCACGCAGTCTGCCTGTGGACAGTTTTATCAGAACAGCCAGAGAGGGAGTAGAACTGACGCTCAGCTGATAAAACCTCTGCTTCCTGTGATGAGAGCTCACTTCTCTCCTGACCTTATTGAACCAACAGGGGCGCAGTATCATGCCTGTTAAAAGTTATTGCTCCTTTGTTGGCAATGCGACAGTGACAGTTACTGCAGCAGAGGCTGTAAATGGGAGTTGGGCCAGTAGCAGAGCCTGTGAGAGTTTGAAGCTGTTTACCTTGTCCCGCTTAATAATAATAATAATGGATTGCATTTATATAGTGCTTTTCGGGACCCCCTCAAAGCACTTTACAATACCACTATTCATTCACTGGTGAATGAAAGCTACAGTTGTAGCCACAGCTGCCCTGGGGCAGACTGACAGAGGCGAGGCTGCCATATCGCACCATCAGCCCCTCTGGCCATCACCAGTAGGCAGTAGGTGAAGTGTCTTGCCCAAGGACACAACGACCGAGACTGTCTGAGCTGGGGCTCGAACCGGCAACCTCCCGATTACAAGACGAACACCCAACTCTTGAGCCACGATCGCCCCTGAGCTTATGCTCAAGATGAAAGGACAAAACTGCTGGTGTGAGAGAAGTGGATAACTCACCTAAGGTTCCAGAAACAATGTCAATCTTGTGCATAATGTTGTCTCTCTCGCCCACTCCAGCTCCGTGGGCTCCGTACAGGCCCACGGCATGAACCTCATCAACAAATGTCAGCGCTCCGTAACGATGGGCTACATCGCACAGCTCTTCCAGAGGACATATGGCACCTGAAAAATTAGAACGGTGTTTAGGTGAACAACAGGGTATAAGAGTAGCAAGTATTTAAGATCTAAAACAGGTGACATACTGAAGGAAAAAGCACAACTTTTCCAATAGCTGATCCTTGATCTGGTGTTTTCATGATGGAGGTGGAGAACATGTCAGCCCAAATGATGCTAAATTTGATTGAAAACTGGTGAATCTCAAGGCCATGGTTTATGACTTACCAGTATGTAATCTTCAGAGTCATAAAACCATTCAGTGACTAGTGCACTGTAGACGGGGGAGTTTTCATTGATAAAGAGGTCACTCCCTTTTGGAGAAAAATGTTTAAGCAAAGACTAATTAATCACTCACAGCAACTTTACGAAAAAGAGACACCGGATCCCTCAACTGTAGAGGGTCAAAGGATGGGTGTTTTTCCTTTAATTTGTCAACCACCGCATCCAAAATGTGTGATTAAGAAGTATGTGGTGAGTTATTCTCACAGATTTTGGAAACAAATATTTAAATCATAAAAGAACACATAAAAGAATTTAAAAAACATGATTAATATCAGTTTTTGCTTTTAAAAGTATGATCAGCTCGTGCTTTATGGAGCTGTCACTGGTGTAATATGCTGAAAAAACTGAGCTGAGAACAATACAATACTCTTTATCAAATATCATTTTAAACTTATACTGGTGATAATTGTTGAACTTTTTAAAGGAGGTGCATCCAACATCTGCTTAGAAGGGAACTCCTTCAAGGTATTATAATTCCAGCTGATGACCCCCTGAAGCAGCTTGAGAGAAAGAGATAATGGAAAAATAAGAGTCTTGTTTCCAAAAGTGCTTTTTCAAACGTTTGACTTCGTGGTTCTCACCGTCCATTGAGTGCACAGTCTCAAACGCCACTATTTTTGGTGTCGTAGGGTCTGAGCGTTGGAGCAGTTCCTCCAGGTGTCGACTGTCATTGTGGCGGAAGATGAAACGCTTGGCTCCGCTGTTCCTGATGCCCTGAATCATGGATGCGTGGTTCCCAGCATCGGAGTAGATCTCGCACCCTGTACAAAACAGTGAATAGATCATTAAACAAATAAAAAACAACTGCTAACTGCTAAATAACTAATAAATAGTTAACATTGATTTTAATGTTGAGGTAATTATTTACCTGGCAGCATCTTAGCCAGAGTGAAGAGGGTGGAGTCATTTGCCACAAAGCAGGAGGAGAAGACCAACGCTGCATCTTTCTGGTGTAGCTCGGCAAGCTCCTTCTCCAGAGACACATGGAAGTTGCTGGTGCCTGAAATGTTCCTCGTCCCACCAGCTCCTGCACCATGCTTGTCCAGAGCATCTCTGTGGACATCCACAACAAAAAGGTACAACATCAAGCCCAGATACAAAACAATGAAACCAGCTCCCTGTTTCGACTTGCGAGACAGACACACTCTCTGTTTTTAAGAGTAGGGTTGAAATGTTCCTTTTTGATAAAGTTTATAGTCCGGGGTGGATCACACTCTCTGTGTGTTTACACACCACTTTGCATTCAGTCTTTAGTTATTATTCATCTCTGTCTCTCTTCTACAGCCGGTCTTCTGCCCCTCACCATTTACCAGTCATTGCAAATGGAAATCTCGGAGTCTGATTCTGCTGGCAGTTTCTTCCTGTTAAAATGGAGTTTTTCTTTCCCACTGTTGCCAAATGCTTGCTCAAAGGGAGCCTTCTGATTGTTGGGGTTTTCTCTCTATAACCATACCTTAAAATAGATAAATAAAACTGCATTAAACTGAAGTGAATCACATATCTTCTACACTGTGCCCAGTATGCTTATGTTTTTCCGTCAAATTCTCAAGTCCTTTGAGTTTATTTGGTTCCACTTCTTGCAAGAATGATGCAATTTAAACATAAGATTACCCAAGCCAGTCTACAGCTTTGTATCGCCATAAGGATAATTAATTACTCAAATCCAAACAGTATCTGCAAATATGTGGTCCAAAACCAAGTAGTGCATAGATTAAAATTTTGAGCCGCTGAAAAGTAATATGATATTTGCTGGGTCCTGTTACCTGATGGCGCTGAAGACCCGTGGGTGCCGACTCATTCCTAGATAGTCATTGCTGCACCAGACGGACACCTGGGAGCCTTCCCGCCCAGAAATGGAGTAATCCTCAGCAAACGGGAAGACCTCAGCACTCCTGTTCACTGTCTTGAAGACTCTGTATGTGTGGTCCTTCTTTTTCACAGCAATCTTCTCCATGAAGAACTGATCATAGTCATAGCTGGGGCCAGCTGTGGAAAGAATAGTTTTGACTGGGCTTCAGTTACTCTACAGCATCCAATAGACAGCTTTTTATTGCTGAATATTTACCACAGAATATTACAATGAAATGCCTGGAGGGGTAAAGCCCTTTTATTTGTATAACATACCCATGTTGTCTTTGAGGAGGTGGGTAACACTGTTGGGTTGAGCTGAAGTTGGGCACGCAGAATCCTTTACACCTTTCAGAGAAGCCATCAAACCTGTCAGAGAGGAGTGTAATTGTGTCAAATTTATAAATATTTTGTCCCCTATTTTTGTAATTCGTCAGATTTTCTTCTATTAAAGCTCAAATTCTGCTACTCTGATGACAGCATCGCTGCAGGTACTTAATTCCTACCACTTTCTTGAACATCCTCCTGTACTTCAGGGCTGGCTCGGACCATTCCAATCTGGGAGCTGACAAAAGGGCATCCCTTTGATACGGACACAGCCACCTGAGTAGCAGTTTGAGCAAAGAGCCTCCTTTGTTCAGCTGTGGGAAGCTGTTGATCCTGGGGTTTGGGGGCCGAGACGTTCAGCTTGGCTTCCAGAGAGCCCGGGCCGCTCACGGTGATCTGACGAGCGATGAGGGGGCAGTGATTCGCAAGAGACAGCAAGGAGGCTCCGGTTCTCCTTAAAGCCGGCTTTGGAGCCAACTTGAGGAAGGGGCAGTGATGGAGGAAGGCAGCCATGATACTGAAGCTGTTCTTACTCTGGGTTAAGACAGAAGATGGGACAGAAGATTTTGCCTTACGTGGGTGAAGATTATAAATTACATAGCATAGAGTCTCTGTGATACAACCCAGATTTATTTATTTAATTACTTTAGGTAAAAATAGCCTGTTTTAGTCAAATACACTATATGGTAATTCCCTAACTCCCTTCACAAATGATCTAAAGCTCATGCCTTAGCTTAACATGCAAAAATGCAAAAAATGCAAAAATGCAAAATGATGTTAACTGGTAATGGCAACTTGACTGGTAATGGCTCAGCTTAGAAAGCAGTAGGTGCCTCCTCCTGGGTGCGGCATGGAGCAGCCGCTTATCTTAACTCTGCAGGCACGTAAGAGCTACTTACTTGCATCATCAGCTGAGTCTGATTACCATGGAAGCTTTCAAATAATCCGATAAAACAGACGTTTCTTTTTGGTTAATGGCCATTATTTCCTGAGTCCGAAAAGTTTTTCAGACTCAGGAAAAATACTCACTAAAGCACACTCTACCACACAAATGTACTGATGTATATTGTAATTTGCTGGTGAGCACCTGTATGTGTAGTTTAGTTGGCTACCGGAACAGGTTCTATGATTTCCCACATTATTTTTGTAGTCAGCAGAAATAGTGTGGGAAGCAGTTGTTGTGAAGTCTGGGTTTTCTCTTGAAGTCTGATGTTATCTTTAACTGCTACTTCCATTTAAACCACAAAAGTAGGTCAAATTATTTTTTCACCTTATGATTGTTTGGTTAATTACTTTAAATACATTTAAATACTGACGCACAAAGCAACAAGAAGAAGAAGGCAGCTAACCAACAAAAAATGAATACATCCTCATTTATTAATTAATGATGGAGTATCCACACCAGATGTTTTTATCTCAGTTAAGAATATTTAAATCAAGCATATACAATTACAACAAAAATAAAATAAAAACAATGACTATAATTGATCAGAGCAGGGTTAATAATGAAGAAAACTCACCTGTTGACCTGCACTGAGGACGAACTTCCAAACAGCAAATAGGCAGAGGGTCAGTAAGTGTCAACAGTTACTGGTCAGATGTTGAGGCGCATTATGCAATCAGCTCAGTTCCCACCCATCAGAGGTGTCTGCGGATCTCAGCTTTGGGGGGGGCCACAAAAGGGTGTTGTTTGTGTTTGTGGGAGGTGCAAAGACACTGATAGGGTTCCTATCGGCACACGCTGTGTTGTGGCACGCGCTGCCACTTAAAATAATGGTGAGAACAAGTTTGTGGTAACAATCTCAATATCTTCATGTTCCACAGCTTGTGAATATGAGATCTATTACACCACAACAAAGAGTGCACGAAGATGCCGCAGATGATGAGCCTAAATTATCAGATGACATGATGTCATGTTCAAGTCACACTGCAATTTTCTACCAATATAGAAAGCAATGCCATCTCCTATAATAAACCACACTATCAGGTTCTTTTGGCTCTTTGTGTTTTACTTTAACAGAGAAATGAGGACATTGTATGATTAACGTTTCTTTATGAATGTTCATAACACATACAGTTTTATAGGTTTTTAAAAAAAAAAAACATAGCAAAAGCTGTCTCTGTGATACTGTAATGTACTCACACAGAAACAGTTTATACAGTAGAGCACAGTACAGAACAGATGAAGGTTAGAGAAAATAAATGTTCACAAATTATTTGCTCTACTTGCAAATGTATTGCATTTTCCTTTAAATACTTGTATTTTGGGGTGTTTATACTCTGGGCGCTAGTGTTATTATCTCCATTGTGACTATAAAGAGACTTTACAGAACACAAATAAAAACAATGGTTTGGCTATAGGAAAGGTTTTGGTGTATTTAAGGCTTTGGAAATATTATAATTTTGGCTGATTGCATTAAAAGTGTGTTAAGGGCTACCTAGAGCATAAACAGCACAAATAATTGTGGCATTTCTTACTTTACAACGGCACTGCACTGCCACTTAAAAGGTTTATTTAAAAACATAATTGGAGCATTCAATTCATACTGATTATAGTCGTAAACTGTTGAATGAGATGACCCAAATGGAGACTCTGTAGACAGACTGTAAACACAGACAGTAATAAACCTGAAATGGGGACAAAGTGATGAAAGGAACTAATAAGCTCTCATACTAACAGCAAATTCAACTAAGAAACAAAGGTTCAAAATAATAAGGAAATATAAGATGAAAAAGTAAAGACTAAACAAACTAAGAACCACATAGAGAATATTTCATAATAAACAACAATATAGAGTCCATTAACTGCTGACAGCTTCTTGTAGATATCCAAAGTCTCAGTAAACACCTCCATCAATGCCTCATCAGGCAAGTTGTCATTAGAAAAAATGTTTAAACTAAACTAACAATTACTAACTAAGCAGATTTCCTCTGTAATTTCATGTGAGTTTAGTTAGTTTTTGTTTTCCAATTTTTTAGTTAACTAACTGTTTTTCAGATTTAGTTTTAAGTTTAGTTTTAGTTAAGATGGTCCCAACCATCTCAACCTTGCCTCTCGAACTTTCTCTCCAAACCGCTCAACCTGAGCTGTCCCATCTTACTCATCTCGTGGCTCAAGAGTTGGGAGTTTGCCTTGAAATCGGAAGGTTGCCGGTTCGAGCCCCGGCTTGGACAGTCTCGGTCGTTGTGTCCTTGGGCAAGACACCTCACCCGTTGCCTACTGGTGGTGGTCAGAGGGCCCGGTGGCGCCAGTGTCCGGCAGCCTCGCCTCTGTCAGTGCGCCCCAGGGTGGCTGTGGCTACAATGTAGCTTGCCATCACCAGTGTGTGAATGTGTGCGTGAATGGGTGGATGACTGGATATGTAAAGCGCTTTGGGGTCCTTAGGGACTAGTAAAGCGCTATATAAATACAGGCCATTTACCATTTACCATCCTCTCCATCCCGGTCACCCCCAATGGAAACATTGACTGCCGCCTCCACCTCTGCGTTCTGTCTTTTTTTTTTTTTAGAGCCACCGTCTCCACCAAACCACACATCTAGCAGGTCTCAGCAAGAGTGAAAAGCTCTTGCTGCCATCCGTCTGTCACAGATACCCCACCTCTACCACGACAGTACTCTCCACCCTGCCTGGACTCTCTTCTTCACTTCTCTTAAACGCATCACTGATCACAGTGCGAGTAATAAATCAATATATCAGGAGCTCCTTTTTTTAAAATTTTTTCTCTCTTTATCCTCCTTCAGCCAGCCTATAACGTGACAGCGTCTGTGCACTCTCACCAGCAGGTGGAGATGATGCATTCCTCGGACTTTTATGAATCGCTGCTTCGGGGTCGTGTAGAGGCGGAGTTTTTCTGCTGCCGTAGACGCGCAGGCGGCGGGCTGCAGGCAGAGGGCAGCAGGCAGGGTTTAGCTCATCCCTGACTGGATCACAGGACCAGCATCATCATCCTCCCTGGCAAGGGCAACCTCTCCATAAGACATCAACAAGAAGAAGACGAAAAAGCATCAAATTTTGAAGAGAAGCAGCAAGATGCTGGCCTGCACAGAGCTCATCACCATGTGTCTTCAGTCTGCCAAGCACGAACACTTGAGAAAGCGGCAGGAGCTTGACCACAAGCACAATCAAGGGATCTCATTATTTCAGGATGTAAGTACATAGTGTGTTTTTATATTTGGAAGATTTTTTTTTTTTAAAGAAACACATATGTCATTTCTTAATAATACATCTTTTTTAAAACGTATTTTTCTCAGTAGTCTTGTGTGTGATTGCATTTGAACGTGTTCTGCTCGTGTCCACCTTCTGGGGGTCGTTTAACAAAAGCGCAGGATGAGTAATCCACTGTTCTTCATTCTTCTCTTTGGTTCATACTGAGTTAATGCCAGTCTACTATTCACGTGTGAGTTTGGCAGCAGCACTATTATGTAAGAAAGGTGAATGCATGCACATCATTGCATCAATTACAAAACACAGATATCCCGGACGAAGCAATCTGACATATTTTCTTTGATGGGACTGACCTTTTACCTGCTAAGAAATGCAGTGCAGCCTTTTTATTTCAAATTTCTAACAAAATATTAAGGGTCATGCACTAGATCAAATATGTTATTACTGCATGATATGATTTTCCCCTCACTCTGAAAATAATAATAAAAATGCCTTTCACAAGTAAAAAGATCCTACATTTTTAATTCTTAACTCTGGAAATTACAATATCCTACTACATAAATGTGCCCCAACAAAGAAATGCTTTGTGTTTTGTGCCACAATGACTCCGTAGTTAGCCACAAATAAGAAGACAGCGAATTAGCAGCATAATTTCCCAGTGTTAGACTTTCTGACAGCAGGCTGCAAATTAAATTCACTTTCCTCAAGGCAGATCATTGGCCAGCAACGGGGAAATCAGACTGCAGCGAGTGCACAATTGGTTTAAACGCAGTTAGCGGCCATTCTCTCGAGCCAGCACTGCGTTACCTCCAAGTAGGCGTTTTCTTTAATGAACCCAGTATGAGAGATAATAACAGAGACATGGGACTCAGCAATTCTGAAATGAAAATCTAAGACAGTGGCAGAAGTAAAGCTTTCAGTGGGGGAAAAGGCGGTTAAAGCCTGCATTAACACACACCTGTGTTAACTTGCATTAACAAAAGTATTAGTGATTAGATTTGGCTCACTTGAAATTACACTTCATTGAGACTAAGCATTAAAATAACTGCTCAAATCAGTGCCCAGATGTGTTTCCAGGTGGCAGCCAAGTGGTGGGCATTGCTAATGTTGAGGCTTATGAATGACATGTATTCTAGTTGTAGGAAATAAGAGTTGGATCTCATTTTAAAGCATCTTTTCTCTGTTTACTGTCATGATCTCTATACATCCCTGCTCCAAATAGCATGTCATTAACCTGCAGTGAGTCCCCTATTTTTATTTACTGTCTTCCACACAAATAATTAATGCTGTTACACACACTTACATCTGTAGTAAGAGATCCTGTAAGCTTTTCCTTATTTTCTGCCATGTTAATATACTTGATTACTACTCCAGGCATGTATGTTCATAATTAACATGGACAAACATTTGAATCATGAGGTCATGAGGTGCAGAATCAAGATCCACTATAAGAGAAATACGGATTATTTTGAAGGTTTAATAATGCATGGCTAAAAGAAAATGTCAGAAATTAGCGTAATATGTTACTTTTAATATGCTTTTCATTTTCTGCACAGTCACTTCACAGCTCCGTTTGGCTTCAGGGAGCTTTTTGTGTTTTTTACCATTTGTCTATTTAATTAGATACACTGAAGGACTCGGTTTAACAGACTCAGACTTCAATCTTTCACATTCCCAAGTTTTCTCTTTTTTAGTCTTTTTGATATAATAATTATTTTCAGTGCCGTCCGTGTAATGGATGGCATAGAGATAAGAAGATGTAGCTCTCTGTAGTTTATTAAGGACTCACTGTGACTTACCAGCTTACCGCAGTGACTGATTTTTTTTTAACTGAGTAGCATCCATGCTGCTACTTTTAGAATGTCTTCATTGGCTCTGTGGGATAACAACACCACCATCGACTCCACCAGCCTCCCACAGAAGGGCAGTAAATCTTAGCTCTTGTACTTCATCAGACCTGTATTCAAGTCCTTATGCCATCTTAGCTTTATCACAAGTAACCCTTTAGCCAGTCAGCTAATGACATGTCATCATTAGTGAACATCAGGTCTGTATTATGCTTTGTCCCTGTTACATTAATGTTTTGATGTACCTATTGATGAAAACACAATGTAACAACATGATTTTGTTGGTATTACACTCAACAATAATAAATGCAAATACATGATTTGTAGTCGGGTTCAAGCATTGCCCTTATGTGGTCACTGGATTGAATTGTGAGTACAGTTTTTGTTGTGTACATGCTGTGCAAAAGTCTTGAGACACCCCTCATTTTTAAATATTTTCCTGCCAATGAGCCAGACCTTCTTGTAACTTTTTAAACGTGATGTTGAGCAAAATTTCTCCTGGTTTTTCAGTCCAGTCCTTGTACCCAACATTTTTCAGAGGAATTTAGTTTGTTTGTTTTTTAAGTCACCCAGCACTGACCTGTGACTCATTTAAGCATATAAAAGGCACCCTGCTCAAGGCATGAACCAGTCCTGTGTCTACACATAACAGACAGCTTAGCATAGGACATATTTTTAATTCCATCTATAAGCATTTTGTTCCATTTTCTTTAGTTTTGATCTAAAGAAAATGCTTCAGATGCAGTCTGGAAGTTGGCAAAAACCATCAATCTGATTGGCAACATTTTTAGTACAAAGTATACATGTATTGTATTAGACTCATTAGAAAAGCCAAATCTGATTTATTTTTACACAAATATCTCTGGAAAGCCTTTAAAACGTCTGCCTCCGTCCCTTCTTTTAAAAAAACTGTTTTGAAAATCGGCACATAACTAGGAAGTCAGATATTTGCAAGGCTTTTTTATCACCCCTACAGTTCTACTGGACTTTTTTTGTGTAACAAAGAAAAAGCATCTCTGAGTCTATATATCCTCCACTAAATATTCAGAGCTGCAAAAACAATATTGTTTCTGCCACTTCAGAAAACTCAATTCAGTCCAGTTCTCTGTTTATATTGCAGCCATTCACAACAACAGTGCCCTCAAGACACCATATATTGTAAGGTCAAGATCCTAGAATATTAGAAAGAAACCCCAACAACCACACTTCCCCCATACAAGCAAGCGTTTGGTGACAGTGGGAAGGAAAAACTCCCTTTTAGCAGGAAGAAACCTCTGGTACAAGCATGCTCAGGGAGTAGCTGCCATACCCGATTGGGGTGAGGAGAAAAGGAGAGAGCATAGGGAGACAGAATTTTATACAATATTTTATAAAATTTTATGCAATTTTATATAGATGACATAATTTATTATGTAGCTGGGTCCTCTCATGATCTGGCCATTGCAAATCTACAGCCTGCTTTTGCTCAAATTCAGAAATCTCTTATCACACATAAACATGATTTTAAGTCTGATTCAAAATAAATGCAAGATATTGCCGTAAACTATCCAGCACACACCATGTCCAAACCCTTCATGGTCATACAGTTGAAACTGTTGATTGTTAGAAACACTTAGGACTCTGGCTGGCTAGCTTGATGTCGATTGTAAACTGCAGCTGGTTTGACCTTTGTTTACCTTCTGCTACAGTGCCTGGAGGAAGCTTATAGGGGAGAGCTGCCATTTTTTTAATATCCACCCTTTCCCCCTGTTTTTCCTTGGGTGATAGGAAGTTGAAGTGTAGTCTTTTTGTTTGGCTAAGTTTCGCTTTAAGTTAGAGCTGTTTTGTTTGTTGTGTTGGCCTTGGGTCTCCCTGAAGCTAAGTACTGTATGCTTGATGCTTCCCTCTGTTAACCTCTCAGCAGTAAAACGTTTCAAACTGACCTCTTTCCACTTTTACGTTACCTCTCCTCACCCCCTAGACCTTTTTCGGGGATGTACCAAAGATTGCCTGCTGACTGATTATCTGCTCTGTGACTGAATTTTAAAAACAGCTCTTTCAAAGCCTGGAGATCTATTCCTGAAGGCTACGAGAAAGCTTGTCTAAGAGAGTTTAGGGTATATTGATTATTATTAATGGTGGTCATACCAAATATTGATTTTCAAGCTATTAGAACTCTGCACTCTGTGTTTTCCTTGTATGTTGTATTTCCATGTGTGGTTGCACATATTTCAATGCTAAAAAAAAAGAAGTGACGCTTGGGACTTTTGCACAGTACAGTGTGTCTTCAATGGAGGAGGGATTCTGTTTAAATGCTCGATGTCAGCAGAGTGTATTGAAGCCTTCACACTCCGATGTGCTTGAAAAGTGACAGCTGGATGCAGCTTCACCACTCCAGTGTAATGACGCGGTTAATCCGTCAGACACTGGACTCTATTGATCCACACACGGTAACTGATTAGCAAAAAAAGATTTGGTGTTATTGATGATAAGGCTTTAGATAAGAAGGATTACTATTCATGGTATAAATAGTGACTATAAAGGAGTGTTGCTTCTGCAGTCTTTTCACAAAACTGTAAGCATGACAGCCCCTGCGGAGGAAAAAAAGCATGAAAGGTTTCACTCTGAAACTCCTCTGGGCGCCACACAAATGTCAGTATTGCATTTCCTGAGATATTTCGTGTCTCTTTTGTTATTGAAATGAGGAAATTACATCTCCCCTTAAACATTTTGCTGCTCATACAGAAAGAGAAGAATGGGCTGTTTCATCTCACACAAATAAATTGCCTCATACATCTTTAACTTCTCACTGGATGGCTTCAAAATACAAAAATCCTTGTGTCGGTTAATGTCAGCCTAGTGCTACACATCTCAATTGCCCGTGTTAAAATATTGTGCTTGCGGACCTTAACGCCTAAACACAACTTTTCTCTTTTCTTGCAGATTTTACGCCGTGCAGACAAAAACGGTGAGTAAGCAAAATGCAAATCTAATTGGATTGAACGGTTAATTAAAACTCAATTAAAATTTTGTTGAAGGATGTAGCTTTGGTGGCTTCGTTCAGACAGTGGCCTTGGTGGAACTTATTCTTCCATTTAATCATTTAATTGTATCGCCATCCTTGTGAGATGCAGAGGATTTGAATAACTGGGGTCAGGTCCAGCTGCATTTTTATTTATTTTTTGGTTTTGTGATGGGATTGGATTTGACAGGATGAACTCCTACAGTTCCCCCTAAAGGCATTGTTCATATCAGTGCATTGCCAGCACCACTGCTCATCTCAGTGATAGTCATGGATATAAATAACACATATTGTGAGGTAATGCATATGCAAATGATCTAACTATAGAAAAACTGTTGCCTTGGCTGGTTCTGCTCTCCTTTGTAGAAAACACATTTTAACTTCGAGTGGTGCAAACTAACCTGAGAATTGCAATAAATGTAAATTCAATGTTTTCTCTTCGTAAACGTGTCCCTGTTTCGCTTGATTAAAGCGATGCAGTTTCACCTCTTTACTTCAAAGGGAATTTGCTACATCAATGTCTCCTAGGAGAACGCAGAGAATTTAGTGTTGCTTGAAAAACACAGCTGACAAACAGGGAAATGTTTCTGTTCTCAATTTTGTATTCATGCGCTGCATCTTCATTTAATGGAATGTAAAATGCAAAAGTGTTGAGTTATTAATGCGTGTAGAGTATCTACGGACTCTGATCGCTTCCCTCTGGAGGACGTTGAACGTGTTGCGTAAGAGCAGGATTAATGATGCAACGTGCCGCCATGAGCAGAGGTTTTCCGGGGTGCCCCACAGCTCGTGTGAAGATACTGAGATGTGAAAACAGCCCTTCAGTTTGTGAATTATAAATTGGCACATAAAAGATGAATTTTTTTCTTTGGGTCTGTTATGAAAATAGAAATAAAGGGCGGGTGGATTTTTCTTCTTTGAGGCTGAGTGTTAGGTGATAATAAGTGAAGAGCATAGCAGCTGGAAGGCAGCAAAGGTGGGAGTGTACAGTAAGGTGCATAATTTGTTGGACAGAGACCTAATTTTTGTAGTTCTTCTGTTCACTACCAGAGTGAATTACAAATAAAATATTCAATATGTGAAGTGCAGACTTTAAGCTTCTATTCAAGGGGTTGAACAAGAAATATGCATCAATTATTTGGGAACTGCAGCCAATTTAATGCACAATCCCCCATGTCCAGAGGCTCATGGAGGAGTTTCATGACATAATGTCGTAAGTGTCTTTTCACTGTAACTAACTCCCCCCCCCCCCCCCCCCCCCCCCCCCAATACAACCCTATTAGGTAAAAATTTTAGAAGCGGCCAAATCTGTAATCTGGTAAATTTATTCAAGGAACCAATTAACTGACCAGTTCAGACTGAAAGACCACAGAAGACAAGTAAAGTGCATGATGACAGAATTATTTCCTTGGATACTAAAAACAACTTTACCCCCTGTTGGTTGGTTGCCCCCCAAAAAACAAAAAACATCTACGTCAAGAACTTAGACTTAAACTTCTAGAAAAGCCTGCACAGTTCTGGAAAAAAAATCTTTAGACAGAAGAAACCAAGGTTAACTCGTACCAGAATGATAAAGAAAGAGCTCATGAAGCATACCACACCATCTGTCAAATACGGTGTAGGCAATGTTATGGTGTGGTGTGAATGACTGCCAGTGGATCACTGGCGTTAAGTGACGATGTAGCTGCTGATAGAAGTAGCAGGATGAACTGTGAAGTGTACAGGGCTATACTCTCCTCAGATTCATTCATTCAAATGTTGTAAAACTGATCATTCAGCTCTTCACAGTCCAAAAGGATAACAACCCAAAAGCATACTGCAAAAGCAACCCAAGAGTTTCTCAAGAAAAAGAAATGGGATATACTTCAAAGGCAGAGTCAGTTCAGGTCAGTTATCAAATACAAAATGAATACAGAGAGACCCAAACACAAGCAGCAACTACAGGCTGCTGCAGTAAAGACCTAGCAGAGTATGTCAAGGGAAGAAACACAGCATTTGATGATGTCCATGGTATGTGATGGCAGTCAGGCAGTCATTCTCTGCGAGGCTTTTTCATTCTAGTTATAAAATCAGCCCTTAAATTCAAAATTAGCATGTTCAATTAGTTTAGACCCTCCAAAAATAGGGGACTGTGAATAAAAATAACTGCAATTCTTAAAAATAAATGCAAAACCCCGTTAAACACCTTGAATTAAAGCTGAATGTCTGCACTTAAATATATGAATTAAAATTCAGTGTGCTAGTGCAACTACAAAAATTCTGCCTTTTTTTTCTTCAGAAAATGATGTTAATGAGCATAAAAATGTACAGTGCTGTGACAGCATTTTGTGACGGTTCAGGTCTGCTCCTCGTGGTTTGTGTTTTCAGCCTGACACGCCCCGGCGCTCACACTCTTTGTAGAAAGAACGAAAACTTTGCAGCATTCTTGTGTTCGTTATCTTCATTTTGCAGCTAAACTCTGCTTGGCTCTTATTTCCTCAAACTCACTGAGCTGTGCACTGAAGAGGAAAGTGCCGCCTTCCAATCAGTGCTGAGTAGGCTGCCATGATATACTTCTTGTACTGTGGATTTTAATGAGGGCTGTCTGCCAGCCCACTACACTCCTCTTTGCTATTGTAATCAGGAATTACATTTTTAATAGACCAAAAATGCAACTGCACAAATATGAAGTAGATGCTAAATGCTTTTAATCTACAGGCTGTTTGCTGAGATTCACTTTGCTGAGATTCACTTTTATCACCAGGAAAAAAACAATAACAGCCATGAAAAGCACAAATCAGCAATTAGGTCTGGAGATGAAAAAACAAATCAACTCATGGAGATGTGCTCTATATGATGAGGTGTATTCTCGACCCAGAGATTTTTCTCTACGCTTCTTTTCATTCATTTTTCCTTTTGTTGTTGATTTGTTCTTTTTGTATTTCAAAACCAAGTTTCAAATGCATTTAGTAGATTAAAAAAATATGAAAAAGGCTGATATCTGAGGGTGTTTTGTAAGTTTTTGGCTGCACATACATGATCTTTTGCAGTTGTCTAATTGTTAAGGCATTTGGTGCTGGAGCAGAGAGACAGGTGCCAACAGCAGCAGAATTGCAGGGATGTGCAAAAGTGATGCCGCGCTCGCTGTATCGCTACATCACCTTTGTCATCTTGTTCAGTTTGTGAGATGCAAATGTGGTCAAAAATCACTATCAACAAATTCAATAAACTAGTAGGTCTGCAATTAACCATCAGTTAGTCTATTTAGTAATAAATGACCAATAATTCATAGTCTAAAGATATCATAAACCCGCTGTTGTTGGCATTGTTTGGCATTCATGGTTGGAAATGAACTTTGGGAAATATTGCTGCGCATTCATTTTTCCGCTCCTCTGCTGATTGGTAATCGATTTCATACACTTGCTCTTTGAGGCAACACATACAGGATGTTTTTATCTCCGGCCTGTTCTCACCTCTGCTTTTCAACTGAATCGCACCGATGGGCTTTATGAATTTTTAGCAGTGCTGCAGTCTTAGCCCTTTTAGGTTCAGGATTTCCTCAAGGGAAGTGTTCCTGGAAAGAAATGCTCTTCAGTACGGGGGCGATCGTGTCGTTTAGGTTGCAGTTAGAGCTGCAGTTTTAGTCAGTGTGAAGTGAGACAATTAAAGCCAGCGAGCTGCTTTGCTTCTGTCATGAGATTTTGCAACTGTCTTAGTAGCTCTTTAAATTTCCCTGTGGAGGTGTTTATTGACATTAGTTTGTCGAAATAAACTGGAATAAACTGACGCAAAACAGGAATAGTTTTTAATAAAATCTCTGTCTGAGAGGTGACATTAGCCAGCTTTAACTAACAGTGGAATGAAGACACATTACAACAAAGTCACGTTTATGATGAGATAGATCCACCCTAAACGGTGTGAAAAAGTGTTGCACGAGCTTCATAATAAAATAACTCACAGTATTCTCTTGAGAGGAAATTTGGCCGCTCTCATAGTGTGCAGCCTCAGAGAAAGACGTTTGTGTTGTGCATTAGTGCAATGCACCGCTGTGCATTTTGTGCACGCTTCTGGGTGTTATGGAGGAAAATATGCAGACTGCTGTCATAGCCTGCTATGTTTTTATGTTGAATTTACAGCATGTATTTATAGTTTGAGAAATACATGCATGTACATTTAGAATATCTGTAATTATGAAGTCTATTTTGTAGTCGTTTTTTAAATTATCAAACACCTGAAGGTGTCACTGATATGATCAACTAATATTATTCCAGATGCACCAATCCAGTACTTTCTCCCATCCTTTCCTTTGATTATTATCCTTTTTGGGGGGACAACTAAAAGAGCTATCAGTTATAATTACTTAGTATCTTTAGATCTCATTTTTGCCCATTAAATAGTGAAACTGAGGGCAGGCCAGGAGTCCTGTAGATGAAGTACATGAATATACTCTATTAGTTTGCTAGATAAACACTGCGGATAGCCAGGAGATCAGCCGTTATACCACTGCCACTTTGATCTTTAAAGCTGCACTTGCATAATGCGCCATCTGAGCTGCACTGCACTCGGCCGCCTTAATGTGGTGTGAATCTCAAACCCAAAGCAACTCCGATGGAGAAGGCTGGAGAGTGAGTCAGAGGTGCAACAGATTGTGTTTACTCCCACATCTTGTGGAGATTTTTTTTTTTTAAACAGGGAAAGTTTGAGAAATTCACTGCGATTCTTTCTCCACAGCCACACTGCAACAAATGTTCAGTGATGATACATTTTGCTGGGAGGACTTTCCCGCAAGTGGATCGTGTCCAGAATTATCCACAGCGCGAGCTGATGCGAAGTCAAAATATGACATGATTTACTTCTGGCTCAGGGCTGTGAGCGAGGGCTGGCATGTGGGTCTCTGAAGGTTTCAGCGCCTACAGAAAGACGTTGGTGGTGGCGTGTTTGTGAGCTTTGCGTTTACCTCTTGTTACTGTTAGGTCTGGACCCTGCAAGCTGTGCGGCACAAGGCATCAGATGCTGAACATGTTGGTATCAGACTGGTTACAAACTGTGCTCATGTGATGATTGTCCAGAAACTGGAGTGATGGAAATGAACTGTTGCAGAAATTGAAACAGCGGGTACATTGGCTTGCCAATTTTCTTCTCTCGTTTCAGTGAAGAAATCAGACGGTGTTAATAGTCAACTTTTGAACAGAAAATCTGGTGCTCAGTTAGATCATTATTACTCTGGAGAGTTGGAAATCCAGCTCTTATCAGTATTAAAAGAATGATGATTTATTGTAACAATGGTTGAGGGGAAGTTTTACCATCTTTTTAGGGTTACATTACCGTAAACCAAGACAGAATTTAGGACTAGGGCGGTTCATCAGAAGTATTTTTTTTGCAGTAACACCTCTGAGTTCATCAGTAATGTGTTTGCATCACAGAGACAAAGTGTCTTTGTTCCTTTACACTCGATTATGGGCAAACTCTTCATTCAGATGCTGAAACACTGAGGCTTCAGCTAGGTGTAACTTTCACAAGCATCTCTCCTTTCAGATGATGGGAAGCTGAACTTGGAGGAGTTCCAGTCATATTTCACCGATGGCATCCTCACTGATGAGCAGATGCAGGAGCTGTATTACTCCATCGACAGGCAGCAGACAGAGTAAGCTGATCTTCCTTTTGGATGTCCTCCAATTCTGCTGCCATCTGTAGCCCCTCCTGCTTTCCTGCTGTCTGGCAGTGAAATGTCAATACTGCACTTCAAATAATATGATGCTAATATTTCATAAAGCCTTAATTCTTGTGTGAAAGCCAGAGGGCTTGCAGCAGCCTGCTTGATTAGCTCATTAGCAAAGATATGTCTGTAAGATATATAAACATTCACCTGTAAAATGCCTGTTGGTATAAAAACACCGAAGAAACCTTTTTTTTGTGTCTGAGAGAACAATAGTGATGGAAGCTCTGTGCTGTTGGCATCACTTATATGCCAACCAGTCACAGTGAAGACATTTCAGGTGGTTTAATCTATGCTACTCAACTTCATTGCTATACTGTTAGCAAGAGGGTTGCACAGCATCGCAATGAAACGCTAAATTATCAAATTTATAACAAATTATAACAAAACAAAATGTTTTATAAGGTTACACAATCAGATAACCATCCATGAAAGGTGACTGAAGGAGATAACAGCTTTTTCTGTTTTCAGCATAGTTACGAATCTATGGACAGCTATATATAAATATGAGGAGTATTTTGCTTTATTCCTGGTGTTTTTATAACATTTACTAACAGTGGGCAGTTAATCTATTTTTGTTCAGTATTAATTATCTTAGATTGTCAGAATCTACAGGTATGTTTATCGTGTCTGTGGTTAAGAGATGACTAAGAGGAAAAGTGATTTTGCGCAAACTGTAAGAGTCACACACCGAGGGCTTTTAAACTAAGCATCTTAAGTGAAGTGTCACCATGTTTACACCCTGTGCCAAAGCTCCAACTGCTCACCAAGATGGTAACCAGAACCATCAACAAAAACAGTTGGTCCTTCAAAAAGCTTCCTGTAGAGTATGTGTCTGTCTCAGTAGAAGAAACAACAGAAACAAGATAGTTACCTTAAGTCAGTCAGTGGGGATCATCCCCTTTGCAGTATAGGCCAAGCCTCGTAACTGCTTATCCAGCTAGAGTTTTGGAGGTTGTATCCCTGCTCCACCCGGCATTGGGCAAGAGGTGGCTAACTCCATGTATAGAATGTATAAGATGCCAGCACATCAAAGGACTTGCACACGATGAGACCAACTACTATTTGAATTAACATCAGCTCCTACCATACTTTACAATGTAGGAAGAAGTCAGAGTACCTGGAGTGAACTCAGGCGAATGGGAAAAACATGCAAACTCCATTAAAAAAGAGTCTTTGTGGTCTTTGGCAGGAAGAGTTGAGGCCTTAGCGTGATAGACAAGTTTCATTAACATGGTTCTTTTGTCTCTTTGTGACTCCCTCACAGCAACCTGGACATAGACAAACTCTCCGGTAACTATCTTTTATTTATTTTATTTTACCGACTTTACTTTAAAATTCATGTGGTGCATTAGATCACTTTAACTGTGTGTATCATGAACAGGGGAAGTTTTGATGCTTTTAGCTGTTGATGTTGGTCTGATAGTGACAATAACTCAAAGATGTATGTGCATCAGTGTTGCTGACTGATTTGTTGCCAGATACTGATCCTCTTGTGAAAAGCACTACTTGTGTTGTGCTAGTCCAACACGAACCAGATGATAATAAGTAACAGGTCTTCTCCCATTCCAGAGTACTTCACTCCACACCTGGGAGAATACGTCAACGTCCTGTCTGCTCTGGAAAAGCTGAATGTGGCCATTCTGAAGGCCATGGATAAAACTAAAGAGGTTGGTTATGGTTCCTTTCACCCCTGTGCTGTGTGGATTTTTGCATGCCAAGACATATAAACAGCACAATATCTTTCCAGTAATCCATAAGCATCCTCGATCCTTTGATGTGTTAAAACTTTCCTGTTACTGTCTCAGCTGTCAGTTTAAAACGCTGCCACAGTCTTTGCGATCAGTGTGCTGTTGCAGTGAATATTTCCCATCGTGAGTGACTCTGGCAGTACATTTTCAAACATGAGCTCAAAGACCTTTAAAAGATGCTTTCTCTTACAAGGCTTGATAAACATGGCAGCTGTTGTGTTGTAAATCACCTGGGTAACTAACCAGCAAGGTGGGAGTAAAGCAGTTTTCATGCAACCTCAACATTTTGACCTCATTTGCAGATGGTCAAATTAGAGTTGGTGGACTTATTAAAGATGGCCACACAGATGAATATATAAATATTAATGATGTAAAGAACTGAATCCATGATACTTGTTTCCTGTTACAACACATCACAAAGGTGCTCTGTTGGGTTGAGAGCTGGTGACTGTCAAGCTCTCAGGTAAATCAGCTGTTTCTGAAATAGCCTGTCTGGCACCAATAATTATGCTATAATCAAAGTCACTTTACTCGCCTTTTTCTCCATTTTGATGCTCGCTTTGCATCAGAATGCATGCCTAAATGCAGCGAGTTGCATGCATGTGATTGTCTGGTTAAATATTTGCAATAATGAACAGTTGAACGGCGTATCTAATAAAGTGGCCGGTGCCGTACATATATTACTATGGCTGAAATGTCTAACTAGTATAAAACAGAAAGTAAAGCTGAGGCTGATGGGAATATTAGTGTGTGCACTTATTTGTGCAGACAGCTGGAGGCACACAGAGAAAATCTATCAAGCAAATACCAGCAGGAGGTAAAGGAAGTGAAGGACCAGCTCAGGCATAGGGACGGTAAAATACAGGAACTGGTGCATGAGAAGGAGCGTCTCTCTGCCAGGCTCACTGAAAGGCTTTGATGGCAAAATGCAGCTCTCAGGAGGAGAACCTCTGAAAAGAGATAGCAGAGAGAGAAAATGTGGTGCAGAAGAATGAAGCTAAGACTAAATACAGCCTAAATAAATAAAAAAGAAGAAGGTGGAAGGAGACAGTCTACAAAAAAATGAAGCGACAAAATAAAAATCTGAAATAGGAAAATCGACAAGTGAGGAATGGAAGGAAAGATCTGCAATGAGAATATGATGGACCATCAAGATAATGAATGTCAGGAAAAGATGCTGAAGCAAGTGCAGAAATACTGGAGGCGGAGAAGACACATATGGAGGAGGCAAAGAAAGAAATGGCAGAGCCAAATCACATATGCTACTGTGACCTGGATTTTACAAATTGAAGGGCAGTAAGTTTAAATAAAAAACAACATCCTTGACACATTATTGGCTCAGATGGCTTAAAATGACAGTTTTAAAATGGCTAAAATAATCAATTTAATTATGAAAACATGCAATGAGTTGTAAACTAACTAATTAACAGAGCACACAGGCAAAGATACTGTGAAACAGTTAAATATGAATTATAATGCTTGCTGTGTGTTCATCCACCTGTCTAGGTTTTTTACAAACACATCAGTGAGCTGCAGCATTAAAATGCACATTATTTCTTCATTGTTTTTGTTTTGAACACCATTATTTCATATCTAGCAACCAGTACGGCATTATATTGGCTCATTCACATCCTTCTACCCCAAAGTAGAATGTTGCCTTCAGATAAAGAGAAACAGTATCTCACAGAAACAGTAGCCTTGGACTGTGAAACATGCTAATTAGAGCGTTATAAAATCTTATTTTGAGACCTGCTCGAGCAGAACAGCACGCTTAATATTGCAAGAGATGTAGTGGGGATTTAATTGTAATCCTGTTGTGTTAGGCGGGCACACTGGAGAACAGCATCAGAGAACTTCCACTAAGACTTAATCGATAGCTTAGCTCAGTCTGTACTGATCTCGAGTAGCCCTTTCTGTTAAGCCGACTGGTGAATATTTATTTTGTATTTGGCAAACGATGAGAATCAGGTGGAGTATAAATGGATGTGGACTCAGACTTATAATGAGGCTGCTTTCTGCGGTTACAGGAGGTTATTTTCACTGGAGCTTCTGCAGTGACTGATGACTGTGCTTGGGCAGTAGTGGAGTGTAGATGACAGTAACTAAGGCTGACAAACCCCGCAGCTGTCCAACTGACGTGACGTCGCGCAAATGCACCACAACCACATGACTGCATTTCTTTCTTTTGCTCTTCCTCTTTCAGTGTCCAGGTTTATTATTCACTCGGGAGGATATTCGGCTTTCTCTCTCTCTACATCTCTCATCTTCAGCACAGCCTTGCTTTCTGGCTTTTCATCTCTCTTCTCTGCATCACACGTGCTTATAGCTCATGCATTTTTCATATTTCAAGTTGGTCAAAAAGCTTTCTTTTCCCTGAAAAGGTGAGGCGTTTTTCAGCCCTCCCTACAACGAGGGTTACTTAATAAATTGCTACACCAAACATATTACTAATTGTATAGCTATTTTTATCATTTTTACCATCTCCTGAGGTGAAAAGAACACATCCACTCTGGCGTTGCAGCTCATCTGTCTGCTCATCAAAAAGAAAAAACAGAAAAAAAGACAGAGGTTACTTGTGCAGCACAGCTCGTCTTCTGCCGATAAATCACGCGTACAGAAACACGGATTTGAACAAGACTGGCCAACATTTATCACATCTCGCTGTCACTTCTCCTGAACTCAATTTGGAAATGGCACAGTGCGATGGTCAGTGTGTTGAGGGTCATTGTGTTCAAAAAGTGAGCTTGAAAAGATTTATAGATTTCTAAAATGCAGCAGACACTGCCCTGAAGCTCACAGTGCTCAGAGAGATGTCTGAAAATCAGCCCCAGGCTACATTATTGGTGAGATAGCTGCAAAGCAACACATCCCACTATATGTTGTTGTTGGCTAAATGATGTTTTCATATTACTCAGCACGGATCTGGTTTGTCATAGAAACACAGCTCTCACACTAAACTGGCTCAGTGGTGGGTGAGAGCTTATTAATCATTTAAAAACATAGTTGCAAAAAAAATCCCCAAACGCTGCTTTTGGCTGCTTCTTTTTCACAAGCGATCGTTACAGCGTGTAGCTCCATATATTTGCAGATTTCTACACTGGATACACTTCCTGACACAAATCTTTTAGGGGTTTGCAAACTGGGGAGCTTTTGCTTGTTCAGCGAATGTGTAACTACTAAAATTTGGAGCCACTGACTGAGAGAGTTAGAGTGGACTAATTGATCGAGTAGTGCTGCGTGAAACTCGGCACAGATTAACGCAGATTCCTCTGGTTACTCAGACTCATGCCATCGCCATGGTTACTCACTGCAGGGACACTTGATGAGTTGCTTCGTTGGTCTATTATCGTTTGACAGGCTAATGTAAATCTCGTCTCTCACTGTGATTGGATAAGACTTTGAATATCATGTCTCTCTGTGATGGTTAGAAATATTTCATGTGTTTTCAAGCACAGACTCAAGTCTTTCTCAGACGAATAGTTTACCCGGCAACCTATTTTTATTAGGTTATAGCCTAACCTGATCATTATGGCCAGCCACTTTATAGGGTACCCCTTTTGCCACATTATTAAGTACACCTCTTCTGACTTTATTAGGTACACCTATGGCCTATTTTCTTACATTCACTGCTGCCACTTTTACTAAGTGCATGTGTGGCCACTTTATTAGGTAGCGCTGTGGCCTAATAAAATTGCCGGACAATTTTTGAGATGCTTTCTCCCTTCAGCTTTTCTGGCCAAACTGTGTACCTCTAACTTTTTTAGCAGCAAGCCACAAACCACGCCCTGCAGAAAAACAGGCTCAGTGCTGTTTCTCTAGAAATTGCATTCTATAGTTAAAGAAGCAATTTTCAATGCTTACCAGTTCAGATAAAAACTGAATTGGCTGAACCAGCTATTACAACAGTGGAGCAGACCAAATAAAAAATTGTTGGACTACGGTAACAGTTGTTTCACAAATGATACTTCTATCACAGCTGATTCCTTTTCTTCGTTTGTATTTGAAGGAGTATCAGGGCTCGTCAGTGTTGGGTCAGTTTGTGACACGCTTCCTGCTGAGGGAAACCACCACCCAGCTGCAGTCCCTTCAGTCATCGCTGGATTGTGCTATGGAGGCTGTTCACGACCAGGGCTGCACAGGACGGAGGATAGTGAAGAAGCCCGCTGACCTGCCCATCCAGAGGATGGCCAAAAGGCCTGGTCGACGCATCCAGAAGAACATGTGTCTCTCCCCAACAGACCCTTACTCTGGCATGCTCACCACAGGTACTTTTCAGGGAAATGGGAATAGGATGCGTGAGGTCATTCTCATAAAGTTTGATTAAAAAATTAAGATTGAATCATCTCCATGGGCTGGGCTGAAGTTATGTTTCTGGTATCAGGGGTCAGTGTGGAGCCAGACAACCACTGGGGCTCCCAGATCAACCAGCTGGAGCAGCTCATAGACAAGATGGAGTGTGAGGTTTGTGTAAAGGAAGTTTTTGTCACTTTCTTCCATTTTTCAAAAGATGTGCTTGATGTCTTGTGTCATGGGTGTATTTTTAGCATTTTATTTTTGACAGCAGAATCAACTCAGAGGGAAAGCAAATAAAATGTTCCACTAAATCTTGATTTATCGGTTTGCTTTGAACCTAAGAGAACAATAAACTGTATGAAGCTAAGCTGGGTAGAGAGAGTGTAAGATGCATTAAGGCTTTGTCTGCTTTTGGGAGGATCAAAGTTCACCACAGGCTTAGCTGTTACATATAGAAATGTTGAGCACACCATTCAAGGCCTACTGTGTGTTTGCAAATCAAGAATTTTGCTTGAAGCATAAGATACTTGTTGACAGAGGAGTCAGTTTGTAGAAAGCGCAGACCCGAGCGACTCTGCACCCACAATGGAAAGCATGCATAATACATCAGCCTGAGAATACATATATACTGTGTTGGGCTCCAATCAGGGAGAACACTGATTAAATTCACAGCTAATGGTGCTTAAGTACAAAGGTTTGGAATTACTTATAGTTTGCAATAGGAAGCCATTATTTTGATTGGAGGTGTGAGAGTTCATTTAGAATTTAAATTGTCATGTGATAATATAGGTAGGACAGATGTCAGTGCTTCGGGGATGTTAAAATAGCCTGTTAACATGTTCATTTTCTTATCTTGGGTTTGCAGACAAGAATTTAGTACAAGTGAGGGCTGGAGGAGGGTTAATATGAACATGGTGATCTCTTCCTTGTGGAAGCCAATGGTTTGTGACAGGCTGTAACTGGAGGCTGAGCCATTTCTGCTGCTGGTTCTCGTTCTGCTCGTGGCTGACTGAAATATTTATGACCCCATTTTCAGAGTCCACATCTTGAACCTCTCAAAGAAGACACATTGGCAGGGACATATAAATCAGTGAGTCTAGTGTGTGCCAAATACAGATTTACTATATACACATAGATACTATATGTATATGCATGTAAAACACTGATGCCACTTTAATATTTCCGCTAGAACATACTTCTGGTCCAGAGACAAATGTCTGTGAAGGAGAGAGACGTGGAGCAGTTTCAGCAAGCTCTCAAAATCTACACAGATGCCACTACCATCCAGCCAAACAACCTGCAGTATGTCCTTTTATCTGCCTCTGTGCCGTTTGCCTCAGGATCTCTCTGTGATTTGATGCAGCTGCTTTAAATTGCTTCAATTTTCCCAGACATGGGATAACCCCACTGCCCTCTTTTCTCTCTCTCTCTCTCCCTCTCTCACTCTGTCTCCTTTCATTTCTAGCGTGTCAGTCCAGAACTTGCCAGACAGATCATGCTTCATCATGTATGAATTTTGGCAGGACCGTCTCTCCTGGATGAGGTAGGAACTCGAGGATGTCTTTTGCGAATTTCAGTGCTCAAGTGAAATTCGATCAGCACACTGAGCTGCTCACAAACTCACTTTAAAGTGTTCCTGCCTTGTTGGGTGCAAATTGGCAGTCTCATCCTTTTCATCCCTTCTTCCTGTCAGCTACCTGCAGTCGTCCATCAGTAAGACCTTCCAGGGCTGCGTTATTGACTCGCTGGAAGAGCCAGAAATGGTCTCAACCATGCTTCTCCCAGGTACACAACAAAACAACAAATTGATTATTGCAGCTCATTGAAAGCTGCTCATTTAATAAACAGAAATCACAAATTATTTATGGCACAGTCACATTAGAGGAATTAAAAATTACTGCAAACATCTGCAATCAACTTGTGATTTTCGTCGCTTTATAGACAGGGACTAGCTCAACTGCTGTCTTCAAAGCAACTTTGTTGTGTCAAGATAGTGGGAAAAAAAAGCAATGAGGTAGAGTCAGTCTGCAATTAAATTTGCAATTGAATGGGAACGACTTGACAGTTGCATGCAATTTGTGATAATACAGCGATTAACTGTGATAAATTGGCAGTTCTGTTTCAGTCTGTCGCTATCTACACAACCAGATGTCACATTAAAGAGAAATTAACATTAACTACTACTACAAGTCCCCTATTGCAAAGATGCATGTTGAAGATGAGTTGTTTTTATTGGTGCAGACTGACTCAGACTGATGGAAGCTTGTTGGAAATCTAGACAGCAATTATTTGCAAGCCGTTGCCAATCTGTCTGAGAGTGATTGCAGTCAGTCCAAGTTGGGCAGCAGTTGTTTGGAGACAGACGGCCTCCCTCAAGGTGACCTGATGCTGTCACCCTGTCACCCTGCAGTCTACGGTCCACTGCAAGTATTTGCAATCAGTTTCTAAATATGAAAAAAATGAAGTGCAATCACTGGGAAACCTCAGGTTTTTCTCTAGTGTGACTGAGCCATTAATGAATCATTTTAAGAACTGATTCATGAACCAATTAAGCTTAGCAATTGATAATTATTCTTAATCGTCAATTATTCTTAGTTAAATTTTAAATCTAAAAAATAAGCACTGACTTATGTAAAAATATTGATACTTAGGTCCACATAGTTAATGCAGGCTTTCTGTCCATCAGCTTAATTCTTCTTTTTGTAGGAAATTGTAGAGTTAAGGTAATTCATGTGTAATAATATTTGTCAACAATGTATCTCATTAAGTATTGAAGTATTTGAAAGAAGTCTGATAATGATCACCATCCAACATTGTAGTTCCTATTTTATTTATCCATGTTTTCCTTAAAAGAAATCTCACATAATCACTGTCTGTATCCTGCACAGGTTTAACAGAGGTGAAAACAGAGTCAATGCTACCCTTAACCGAACTGAAACAGGACTACAAATTATTACTCTGCATGTGCTGGCAGCCAATTATTCGTTAACAAGTTGGCCACGTTGTTATTGTGTTTGCAGCTTGTTTCTGCTGCCCTCCGATGGCAATAAAACCAATCATTGGTGCTTTAATATGTAAATTACCCCATGCCATATTAGATCATGAATTGTAAGCTTCTCTTTCTGTTGCCATCGCTTATGCGTTTAGCTCGTGCAGAGGCCATAAAACACTGACGTCTAATTATTGCTTCATTTGACAGCCTCTTGGTGGATTATGAACAACAACTGATGGAGCGGAGCTGCTGTTAACATACACCCTGAAAGCAGGAGAACAAGGCGATTGTACAATCGCGTCTTCTTCTTCTTCTTCTTTTTGTTCGTTATTTGATATTAACTTTTTCCTAATGGCATGACCAGGATTGTTTCAGCGAAGCTATGCTGCAAGGTTCTAACAAAAAAGACGGCAGGTCAGTTAAATCAGTCCACAGTGAAACAAACCTAAACCTTGGGGAGAAAGAACTGAGGCGATGCAACGTTTTATTGTGTGATCAGGATCTGTGCTGATGGTCATTTCACAGTGCGGGCACATTTCCTGCTGCTGATTTAATAGACTAACAAATATTTAAAAAAAGAGAAAAAAGAATATATTTGCATGATGTCTTATTTCTCAGTGCTAGTTTTCTTTTTTTCCACTCAAAGCTTCATATTAGAGTAGCTATAATTGTCAACAATGACCAATAACTGATCCTACCCATCAATGCTCAACACCTGTCCCTCAGTACAGATGAAAACAGACATCGTGGTAAGGTTAACCTCCCCTTTTGTTCTCTCTCTCTGGTATCGTGCTTTGCTGTCTCCCTCAAAGCTTTTGCTACCAAGCGCTCATTTTGCTTATGGTGTAGACAAGCCATTAAATAGTTAATTATCAGTCACAGTCTGCATCTAGAAATCTGATCATCTGTGTCACTCCTGCACTTTAGAAAAAAATGGACCTTATTGTGAAGAACTGATACTTATAGTAGATTGTTTATTGAAAATATAGAAATAACAGGCGTCGAGCTGCACCGAGGAGCAGTACTCTAGATATAAAACAAAAGCCATTATTTTACATTTGCAGTATGTAATCTGAAGAGTTTAATGGTACAGTACAAACAAATATAAGTTTATATTTTGAGTACAGAAATTAGGCAGGATCTGTTCTGTGTATTGAACCGTGTACAGTAATTATTGAAAGCTGTAGGTTGTAGGTAGTTGTTGTAAATCACTGGTAAATGTATATTCAGACATTCGGTACGTTACATTTTGATAATGTGAGGAACGAATGTGCTGGATCTTTCATTTAAAGTGTTTCTCATTTCCTTTGTGTAGATTGTACAGTTATGTGGATGCTATGTTTGTTTTCGGCATGAATTAAAGTTTGACATGTTGCTGACATGGAGAGAGGCGTCATTTCTTAAGGGTCAATATGCTTGTTATTGCACACTCCATGTATCGAGCACTATATATTTTTATCTCAAGGTGTCCTTCCATTGTGTTATACAGCCTAAGAAGCAAATAAAAGCTTCTTCTTTGCTCTTAAAATGGAAAAAAAAAAGACTTTCAGCATTACATTTCATTAGAATTCATATGAGAAAGCCATCAAAGAAACAGGAAAAAAGAGGAAATTATTTACATTCTCCCCGCCTGAGTAAGACTGACAGACTGAAATATCTTTTAAATGTAAGCTTGTCATATCAGCAGCTAGAACCTTTGAGAAACGTCTACAAAGCAGCGGAGCAATTTCAAGCCCACCTCACACTGAAACTGGGGCAATTAGCTCATTCTTACTCTTTAAAATCCCTCCCCCGGCGCACAACCTGAAAGAACCTGGGAAGTTTAAGCCCCAACTTTGCACCAAGCAGCTAATAGCTCGCATTCACCGTCTATTTTCATTCGTCAGAGCCCGTAGCAGGTCGCATTGGACTCGTACAGCAAATAAGCTTTTTAAGTTGTGGATTCTTTTGCACTTTGTGTTCGAGAGCTAATCATCATTAAGCTTAAGATATGTACAATAAACCTCACACTGGAGGATTTCCTTTGAGAGCTGACACTGTTTTACTGCATTACACTTATTATCCACAGGTTGGCTTTGAGAAGGTTCATTGTAGCACGTTGTCTCTCATTATAGCATTAGTCAGATCATTTGTAAGAAATTAAGTACTTTGTACATTAAGTCTGAGTTTCTCACATGATTATAATAAAATATAAATCTTATGCCCTGCTGGTGGATGGGATGAAACCCAATGTCTGCTTCCTGAGAAAAAGCAAAGGTTCCTTTTTTGATTTAAACTATAGGAAAGGAAGACGGTGACGGCAGGAGGTCCTTTACAGCTGGAAAGAAATCGTTCTTTCACTTCAGAGCTCACGCCACAGTCCTTCCCTGCTGCTATTTTTCTCCCCGGTGACTGCAGGACTTCTGCAAGATGCAAGGGACAGAACAACCACCAGCTATGTGGCCTATATATATGTTCCACTGTGTCTGTAAGGCATGAATTCAGACATAAACTCAGGCAGCATGGATTTCAGTCTCCACAGAAACCTATATAAAGCACATTAATGGTCTTTTAAAAATTTCCATGTGTGAATTGTGCAAAAGATAACAAATATCTATTAGACAGTACTGCAGACGCAAAATTAGGTAAGTCGGGAAGTGCATTAATTGCCTGTAAATGAATTCTGTTTGTGATGTTTGGCAACCATTAGCAGACCGTCTATGACGCTAATGTGCCCGAGTGTCACTACACAGTCATTTGATCAATTAGGAGCTTATTTGCAAGTGTCTGTGCATGCATATCATTAAAAAATTAGTGGGGAAAACTGTTGAGCACCAGATGAAGAAGGATAAACAGGCTAAGGAGACATGACGAGAAGGGACAAGGCGGAGTACGTGAAGAGACTGGGACAGACTGGCAGAGGAAAATCAGGGTCAACTGTCAAGAAGCGTTGAGGCTGAAAGAAAGCAAAGTCAAGTAGAAACCCTGATCTCTGAGTCCTTCATATTCGACACGCATATGCTCACAGACCAGTGGGCAGACATCTGCTAAGCTGTAGCATAACAGAAGGAAGGAGAGAATACAGAAATGGATACAGTTACATATCATGTTGCTGTTTCCAGGCCTGCTTAGTGACGGCTGATCAAGGAGGGATTACTGACAGCCCAGGGCAGATGATATATTTCTGGAATTAGAAGGCGTTTGATCTGTCTTATCAGATGGGCTCTACTGCCTACTTTCATTGGTCACACATTTACATTAGAAGCAGATGACACAAACAAAGACGGAGGAGGATAGTGGCTCATAAACACAAAAGCCATGTAGCTTTTTGGATTTTTTTTTCTCTTTTCAGTGCTGTGGAGCTGCAAAACACAACGTGATTAGGTTTAAGTCAGAGCTATTTCATTTTATACATCATAATCATTAATCTTCCCTGCGAGCAGCGGAGTGTGTATATTGGGTTGCTAAAGGGCTTTGCAACCACAGAGATGCCAGTGGAGACAATCCTGGAAGCATATAATTACATCTGTCTAACAAAGCTTCACATCACTGAAAAATGACCTTCAGATATTTGTGATTGTATTTTTTGGGGTGGAAATAGAGGCAGCATCACAGTGTGTTAATTATATACTGAGTCACAAGCTGGACAGTTTGCCTAGACAAAATATACAAGAGCACCCTCACAGTAATGGAGCAGTTCAAGAGGAAGCGAGAGCCCAGAGCACCGCAGTGAAAAGCCCACTCGCTCACAGACATATTATATGAAAAACTAGGAGAAAAAATGGTAAAAACACAGTACAGCACTGAAGAGAAGAAGAAAGGGGGCGGCAAAGTAAATCCAATTTGGAACATCATTATCTTCCAGAGGCTGAGCGGGGTTATCGGAGGGAAATGTGAGAGCTTTTGGTGGAGGAGGGCTCATGAAAAGCATCATGAAGAAAAATGTGAAACAGAGAGGAAAGCCAGCGGGTGATGGCAGCTGGAGGTGGTTGTGCTCTGAAGTGTTAGAGGGATGTTTAATTTGCACCATAAAATATGGGAAAAAATTAGTGATGAAGACAGGAGGAAAATAAATGAGTAAAGAAACAGGACATGAAACTTTTCGAATGAAACATTATGAGATAGAGGAAATATCCAAATGTTTGTGGACATCTCTATTTTACGGTGCTGTCTTTTTCCTGTTTTGAATGAGGTCCGTACAGAAATGCCAAAAATAACAACTGTGCTCTAAATGCAACATACATAATGTAGATTCATACATCTACATTGTACTGCATGTGAGTTTGTTTTTAACTTTGGGGCAATTTTTTTAAGACCCAATTGTTCTGATGTTCTGCTTCACTTTGGGTCATTTAAAAGTGCATTCACCATGAAGCTATTAATGCTTCTCCTAATTTATATAGTAGCAACAATAAAAAGAGGTATCTGCAGTATAGGACGTGTAGGATGGAGTGTAGGCAGGATGCTTGGAGGACAACAAAAGGATACGTAGAGGAAAATGCACAAGAGAGCACGCGAGAGAAAAAAGATGTAATGATTAAAAAAAGCATAATTCAGACCAGAGTGAAGCAGCCTGTGAAATAAGATTACACATAGGAGATAGCTGTAAGTGAGAAGAAAGCCGGAAGCATCAAAGTAACAATGAAGGGCTGTAAAAATAGCAAAGACAAAAATAAATGAAAGCAATCCAAGAAAAACATGGAAAACAACATAAAAAAGAAATGATAGACTCAGATTCGTAGGCCATCACACAAAGCAAACTGTAAGAGAGACAGGAGGATATTACACTGATTAAAAAAAGAGATGAGTTTCCTTCGATTTTTGCATATTTGTCACACTTACATGCTTCATCAAAATTAATTTTATATTAGAGAAAGATAACCCAGGTAAATACATTATGCAGTTTCTAAATGAGGATTTCATTCATTAAGGGTTGAAAGCTATCCAAACCTGCCTGCCTGTGTGAAAAAGTAAAATCTTGTTATATCATGAATTAACTGGGATTTATTTTTATTTTTTGTGTGTGTGTGGGGGGGGGGGGGGGGGGGGGGGGGGCAAGCTGAGTGACCTGGTCAAACAAGAAATCCCCTAGACACCAACATGTCTGAGAAATGAGCTCATGAAACTGAAAAACAGATAAGAAACAAAGCCATGGATCTGCCGGTCTGGAAAAGGTTACAAAGCCATTTTAAAGGCTTTGGGACTCCAGTGAACCACAGCGAGAGCCGTTATCAACAAATGGAGGAAACTTGGAACAATGGTGACCCTTCCCCGGAGTGACCGTCCTACCAAAATGACTCCAAGAGCGTGTCAACAACTCATCCAGGAGCCCACAAAAGAACCCAGAACAATGGAAGAACTGCGGGCCTCGCTTCAGTTAAGCTCAGAGTTCATGATTCAACAATAAGAAAAAGACTGGACAAAAATGGCATCAACGAGAGAGCTCCAAGGAAAAAAACAACACAAATTTCCCAACAAACAACTTAATGATCTGCAAGATTTTGGGGAAAATATTGATGCAGCTGCATGCATGCAGTTGCATCAATGCAACTCTGAAATACAGCTTTCAAATTAAGACGCAGCTTTCTAGACCAGCCCCCAACAAAGTCCTGCTCTGCAGACTTCTTCACATACAGTCAAAATGTTCTTGCTCTGTGAATGATGTTTTTTTTTTCTACATCCTGTTAAGTTAAAAGACACTCTTTAGGCTCATTCGCCACCGTTTTCTTAAAATAATCACTTCCTCTATCAGTGTTTTGGGGACTGTAGCCTATGGTAGCAGGAAAAGCGAGTACACAATGGACAGGACTCCAGTCTACTGTAATATGGTAATGATAATATTCACTGCTTGTAACATTACATCACTTGTCTTAGATAAATCCAGGAGATTTTAATGGAATTGTTAGTCATGCTATAGATAAGGCGTGATATTTTCTTCCAGCCTGTGTGTTTTTAAATGCCTTAATGAAGCATTACCTACTAGGCTGAACTGTAGAGTAAGGAAGAATTATAATGATTATTTTTCACAGCTGTTTGGCCCCTTAAGACCTTCTGATGTTCTTACAACAGCGGGAACACAAGCAATTAATATTGCTCAAACGGTTTAGTTTGTATCCACTGGATATTCCTAAAATGATAAACAAGTTCACACTGTGTTTATAAATGTTACTGACAAGTCACTTGAAATTTTACTTTTTTAATATATTGCTGAGGCATTTACATTTGAGTTTTCCTCTTTATATTTTTAGTGGGAAAATACTGTAAATGTAATATTATAATAAAGTTGCTAAAATGGATTTATTGGACCAGCTACACCAAATGCAAATCTATCAGCCATAAACATATGACGTGCTTCATACTGTTTTCGTGCGGGCAATGATCCTAACTTTGGATTGGATAATAGTTTAAAGCACGTTTACACGCTTTTGCCACGCAGGATGCTTACTCTCTGGGTTTCAGAGCTTTGAAACAGAATAAAAGAAGAGTTGAGAAGAAAAGGTGGAAGGAGAGTAGTCTGAATTGGGTTCTGGAGCTGTACTCCACCTCATACATCGCACTCATTCGCCAGCCGCGAGTGATTCCAAGCCAGCGAGCACCACATCCACCGGAGGAGCTGATAAACTGCTCCACCTGGCTTCTCCTGTGAGACGTGCTCGCGTCGGCACCACTATTTCTGTTCACTCGCTCACCCGAATCAGGTGATGCCCTGCAAGAGCAGCTATTGGCTCTTGTCTCAGACCTTCCCCGAGGTAACTGGAGGAGTGACGAGCACTCTGCACGTGACCTCTACAATGAGCTTCCTCCCACCGGAAGACGTAAGCAACACTGGATGTTATTTATATAGGGACGAATCTGACGGTAGCCTTTGTTACGGTGCGAGGACTCCTCCCTAAATAAAAGCCGTGTATGACATAAAGTGTTGCTTTATTGTAAGAATAAATTATATTCGCTAATTTTGCATCCGAAATGACCTGTCCATTGAAACGATGGGAAAAATGGTGCTGAGGCATGCTGGAAACAAGGCATGCTGGGAAAGAGACCACCGCAGACGAATCAAATGGCTTCTTCAGAGACAGCATAATGATATTAGACCTGGCCTCATTAAAATACCTTTATAAACAACGTACTGCTATTTATAAAGACACTGTCAGTGCGCTAATATAAATGATAATTCCACTGAAAACGGGAAAAATAACAAGGGATAAAAATGCAAATTATTTCTTCTTAAATTATCATAATACAAATTAGTAAATTAAGTCAGCTCTGAATTTATGCATGTGTGCGTAACACACGGCGTTTGTGTGGAGTTTATTGTCTTAGATGTGGTGTTTTGAATAATTTACAGCAATTATAATGGCATTTTCTGAAAAGCTAAAAGGGATGTTAGTGTCCCTCCAGCCCCCCGGGGACATTACTGCGTTTACTGAATTATTTAAAAGTGATACACTAGACGTGGGTACAGCGTCTAGTGTAAAAAAAAAAACACCCCCTCTGGCCCCTTGATATTTACCTATTACTGCGCCTTTAACATTTCCCATGATGCCCCGCGGCTTTGATCCGTTCAAATTGAGCTCCTTACAAACAAGAGGAGACGCTCTTTCTGGGACAGAACAGCTGAGACATATTCACTCTCATTTTGTAAAATAGTTGTTAACACTGATACAGCTGTTCATATTTTTTGAGACACCGCGATGTTGAACATGTGCCGCCTGCCCCTCTATTTATCCGCCGCTTCCTGTTGATGACATCCGGGCATTCAGAAGGCTTGCACTCTGGGCTACATACAGGGAACCTGGTTTCTCCTCTCTTCGCCCAGGGGAAAGTCCCCGGACACCTGGCAGAAAGTGCCCTGGCTGGAAACCAGGATCGATCTGCGCTCCACCACTAGTGAGCTGAGATGTTCTGCTGAACTGAGCTCGGTGATCGCAGGTCGAATTTGTCAGCGTTGATAGTTATGCAAGAGAGCTGCTAGTAACGCCTTAACAGAACGGGGCTCATTCTCCGAATGCTTCTTTTATAGTTCACTTCGTCCAAGCATGTCTGTGAATATATGGGCCCACTTTTACTTCACGTACTTTTGCGGTTTGGAGCAACAGGTGCAGTCAATATAATAATAGGTCCTTATAAACATGAATGAAAAATGGTAAGGCTGCAGTTTCCTTACGGTAAGGTTCCTAATTACTGTTCATTTAGACATTCCCTCCTGTTTAGCATTTCTACCATTTAAAATATAAGAAAAGCTTATAAAACAATATAGTTTTTATAGATTAAAACAGTCTGAAGTGATTTATTTTAACAACAAATATGCCAGGTCTAGGGTGTAAGGATTTCTCTGATTTATTTATTTTGTAGTGTTGGCCATATTTATTTATTTGATCAAACAAATTGTTAAGATGTTCCTGTAAGTTCCTCAGTAAGTTTCCCTGAGCTTTTAAAAAACAGACAAATCCTGTTTAAGCACCGTGAGTTTGACCAGGTTCATCTTCAGAAAGAAGAAAAATATATCTCAGGTTTTGAATTGTGTTTAGGGCTCCACCTTGCGGTGAAATATTGGACATGCAACTCATTAGCGCCGAGCACAGGGCTCATACAATAAATCCAGGCATATATTAGGCAAATCAATCTGAGAGTCGGATTTATTTCCATATAATCAGACATAGTTGTAAAACGTTTTATTGTATGGGGTACTTTGTGCATATAGGTATTGGGGGGCTTTAGGTTGCAGGATTTGATATTTACAACCTACTTTAGAAAAAGAAAAGCTTGTGAGAAATACTCCCATATTTAAGCAGAAATGCTGGTGAATTAAGCAAGGCCTTCTCTGAAAAAGGCACTGATGCCCTAAAATCTGTATATGTTATTTGGTTCGTTACTCATGCAATGTGAACTAATGCTCCCATTCAAGCACAGATGCAGACTTCTGTGCAGATGCTGATATCAGCCAGGTGCTCCCTCTTTTGATAGTTTGTGATTTTCCCAAAAAAATATTTTTCACACTTTCCTCATCAGCCCCCCTGAATATTTTTTTTACCAGACTCATGTCCATCTTAAACGAGCTTGGTCTCCGATATCTCAGATATCAGATGTATTTTATCAAAGTAGAGTTTTAAGTTTGTGTATGTGGATTATGACAAGCAATTCAGTATTAGATTTTCAGCTTTGCCCCCTGCATAGATATATTTCTCTGGATTCTTCAAAAAATTTTTGGTGATATTCAATTGCATATAGAGAGTATTCATCCCCTCAGATGTTTTTACTCTTTTATTGCTTTTATAATTGGATTCATGGTCAATTTTAAAGCTTTAAAATAAAAAAAACAATAAAAAAAAACAATTCTCTGATATTAAAATATATATTTTTTTACATCTACAAAGTAATGTGGATTAATTCAAACTATTAAACAACTACATAAATATTCACTCTCTTTAAAGCCATTTATTCTCGAGGGTTCATTCACTGAAGATACAAGCACACTGCAAACATCTCTGTCTCTTGGAGTCTATCCACAGGCATGCAGGAGGCTCCAAGGTTAACTAGAAGAAGGTTGTTAGCTCTGATTTAACTAACATAGAGCTGTTTGTCTGAGGCCAGACCTCAGGCCGGAGAACTTGTCACTGAACATTAAAGGTGTTGTTCACAGCAGATCTCTGTTCAGTCTGATGGAGTTTGAGCAGTGTTGCGAAGAAGAATGGAGTCTAAGTGAAACCACTCCACATAAGGTCAAAACAAGGATGGCAGCCAAAGGTGAATATTTAGGCCATAACTGACTATAAAGAGCTTTTTTGTGAATTATTGCCAAAAAAATGAATGCAAGGGAGATGCTTAGCAGCGCTACATGCACCCACGAGAAGCAATTTTATGTTAACAAACATTATTTTAAATATGCCTTACAATGACTTTGAACATAAGTGTATTTTTTGATATAACGATTCAAAATAACACCTTCCCAATTAAATATGGAGTTTAAATATTATGCAAATCATCGCACTTAAATTTTATTTACATGTACTTTAGAATCCCAATTTCTTCTTCTTTCTGATAAAACATGCATACCCTACAAGCACCAATAACTTCAGGCCAAATCCTTTCCCCAATTGATTGTAAAAGTCACTCCTGATGAGTAATTATGATATTGTAATTTTTGTTGAGTATGGTCCAGTTTAAACACCTTGTAACCCATAAAAGAATACAGGAACATAAACGAGCTTCGTCATTGTTATTATACACTGTCTGCACTCAAAATGTCCAATGGATCTCCATTTTCTTTGTGATCTCACCTTTCAGGCAGAATAAAGACAGTTTGTTTTTTTCCATTTGGTCCCCAGTAGGGAGGGAAACCAGCTCTACAGCATTTATTCTAATCGCCTCTGACATGAAAGCACCCAGTGACACACATAGGCATACTGTATACTGCAGGATTAGGCAGTACACAAAAAGATTACAGCGTCACATGGTATTCCTTCCAAATGGTGCCTTCTCACAACCTACTTCCCCCTCTTAGGTATCCCATCATTCCCTGGAATGGGCGTAGGCTCACGCAGCAGCAGCAGCAGCAGCATCACAAAGGTTCAGCTCCTCCCTGCTGTGTGCTTGATATAGGATGGGAGGGAGAGAGGGAGCGAGAGAGACAGAGAGGATCAGGCACAGATGAATTGTAGTCTGAGTGACGGAAGCAGTGTGGGCACATGTGAGTGAGAGAGGACGAATCAGGAAGTAGAGAGACCTGCGCGCGCGCGCGCGTGTGTGTGTGTGTCCGGGAGAGAGAGACCGACAGAGTGTAAATCAACAGAAAGAGGAAGAGGACATAAAGAAAGGAAGAAAAAGGGCTGCAGGAGGAAGCAGACAAGACAAGGGGTCTCAGACTGAGAGGGAAGATGGCTGAGCCGGAGCTGAAATCGAGAGGCAGCCGAGAGAGCGTCGCTAAGGAGAAGATGGGGGGTAGGTACAGTGCATGCTCACGCACCTCTAACTGCCACATGGTGCAGCGCTGCATTATTCCACCATGCGCTCTGATGCAACATTGATGATGCAAGAGTAGAATTGTAGAGTTGATGCTGAGGAGATGCTTTCATGGTAGCAGGTGACAGGTGTGGACAAATGGCACATATTAGGAACGTGGGTATGAAAACACAACTATCAGATGCAGTGTGTGTTTACACGGATAGAAAGAGTTCAATAAGGACAGCAGGTTCACAAGGAAAATCTCATAGGTGCTGATTTCCAAAAATATCTATTTTTAAAAAATTATATGAATTCTTCCTTTAGTAACACAAGAGTTTGTTTGTTTTTATTAATCATAGTTTTTCAAAGTAACCAGTGCCTAAAACAACTCAGCGAGAAAGCTTGTAAATTCTTTTCATTTGTCTGAAAATGAGCCAGACTCTGTAATTTGACTGTCTCCCCTTCTGCTGTCCTCTCACCACCAGCGACTGGAGCAGAGCCTGAGCAAGATGGTCTCATTGTGGAGCAGCCAGCATCTCCATCTGACCCCGTGGGTTCTCCACCTGCTGCCACAGGTTCCACCAACAGCCTGCCAGGCAAGGGGGAGAAGATTGAACTCAAACGCAGCATCACCCTCTTCAACGGTGTCGGAATGATCATCGGCACCATCATCGGCTCGGGCATTTTCGTCACTCCCACAGGTGTTGTCAAAGAGACCGGCTCTGCTGGGCTCTCTCTGATCGTTTGGTCCGCCTGTGGAGTGATATCCACCATGGGTGCTCTGTGCTACGCAGAGCTGGGTACAACTATTGTCAAGTCAGGAGGAGACTACACTTACATCCTGGAGGTATATGGCGAACTGGCTGCCTTTCTGAAGCTGTGGGTGGAGATGCTCATCATCCGGCCGTCGTCGCAGTATGTGGTGTCACTGGTGTTTGCGACCTACCTTCTGAAACCTCTCTACCCCAACTGCGTCGTGCCCGACAGCGCAGCCAAGCTCATTGCCTGCCTATGTCTTAGTGAGTACATGATGTTGGTGGGCTTTCTTAGGTCAAATACACATTTTAGACACTTCATTGCAGCTGGTCATTCACCAGATTCTTGATTGTAGTGTGTTTTGTGTCTCCCCGCTGCTTGTAGCCTCCCTGACATTTGTAAACTGTATCAGTGTGAAAGCAGCAACCAAGGTCCAGGACTTGTTCACCGCTTCCAAATTGATAGCCTTGATCATCATCATCCTCTTTGGCTTCATTCAGATTTCCACAGGTGAGTGGCAAAATACCACAGAACAAACCAAGTCAGCTGCATGACTGCAGGCTGTTGAGAACAAATCTTATGCCTTCATCACAAGACTTATTAATTTTTAACAGAGAAGTAAAATAAGCTTCAGGTCAAAGCTGGAAAAACAGGTTTTGTGAGTGTAATAAAATCTAAATCCTCAACAATATTTAACCTACTTTAATAGTCAGTAAAAAATGCTCAAAAAGTGTCCTCACTTTGAACCTGTCATTTCAGATCTGCTCGTAAACATGCAGCTTCCCTTCATTGTGTTGGAAACACAGCTCCTTTGTTTTCAATATTTTAGTTGGAGTAATTATGGAACTAACAGCATGCCTGTAAAGTAAATGCCATTGCATTATGTGGCTTTTTGCAAACTATATAGTAGCATCAATTATTATGATTCTCGTCTTTACACGACATCTATGTGAGGTTTAATTCTTTTATCTCCAATGGTAAACAAGTTGTTAACGAGCGCTAATGAGCCTAACGAAGCAGACTGCTTTGCTTTCAGCTTGTTAGCACACTTACTGAGTCGGAACACAGAGCTTGTCTGTCTAGAGCCATGTGATTGAGCCTGAGCAGACATGAACATGGGCATCAGAACGTGCCAGGATGGTTTTGATCGTGCAAATGAAACTGCAATGAAATGAAAATGTACAGAAAATAAGGTGACTATACAGACAGTAATTTACTGCCTGAAATATTGGCATTGTAGTAACATTTTTCTATATGATAGCCCTAAGCGTGTGGGTTCACGTGTGCCGTCTAAGACTGTAAAAGCAACGCACGTTAATCCGTCCGAGCTGTGCCATTCACAATACAAGAGCGCGGGAAGACAGCGTGGCCACACTTGCTCCACGCTGCATCTGCTGCTCCCCTCCTTACACAAGGCCACGCCTACCACCTTTGTGCGCCATACTCTGTTACCATGGAAACTAGGCAGTGAAGCTTGCCGGCTGTTGTCACACTTTTTCAGCAGACCAGCAAGAGAACAGAGTTGGAAAATAATAAGGAGGGTCATTACCATCTGAAAGCGACAGGTAGAGGGAGAGAGACACCAAAATGCCTGGCTCTCTCTCTCTGTCTCACACACACTCGCGCACACACACTCGCGCACACACACACACACACACACACACACACACACACACACACACACACTGGATTCATTGACTGCAGTGTATTGTGTAAATGAATTGAAGTTTACTTATGAGAACATTTTTCTTCTCATATTTAAATGTCAATTGATCGTGATTCTGTACCCCAGAGGAGATGCTCCTTTGTTTATTGTGCATAAATAGTGAATTGTCCTGACACAATATTGCGTTTTGCTTCTGTTATTACCATGGTACATTGACAAGCATGTCAAAGGGCAGGCATCAACAGGCCGGCCTGGTACAAGAGACAAAATGTGTCGGCAGCACAAAAAGAATCTATTCAATGTCTAAGCACATAACTCCTCCAGGCGCTACACCTGGCAGTGGGAGAACTGCTTCCCTTTCAGATGTTTTCTTCTTCTTTCTGTATGTGACCAGGTGATGTGCCATATCTGACCCCAGAAAAGGCGTTTGAAGGGAGCAAACTGGGAGTTGGGAATATTGTCCTGGCTCTGTACAGCGGTCTCTTTGCTTTTGGAGGCTGGTGAGGGTCATAAAATTGAATTATTTTTAGCTTCTGTTTGTTTTTGCTTGAAAGATTTATGACCTCTTTGCTATTCACCCCCCCAGGAATTACCTGAATTATGTAACGGAGGAGATGATCAACCCAGAGAGGTGACTTAAATGTAATGACGGTTGTTTTGGTGATGATGGCACAGACTGTCTTGCAAATATCTGCCAAGAGCATGGTTGCTCTCATCCAGGACTGAGCTTGTCTATCATCAGTCCACAGAGATAAAGTATCCAAGCGATACTGACATAATCTGAACTATGAACTAAATATGAACTAAAATATTACATTTTACAAAAAAATGTGATAATAATGATTTATAAAATCCAGTAAAATTATGCAGTCGTGTTCCTCACTGCATACCCTGCATGAATTCAGTCCCATCTCATAACACAGTCTGATATTACCAGAACATACAGTGTTACACGCTGTTGTTTTTTTCCTCAAATGACCTTCGACCTTTCACCCCATAGGAACTTGCCCCTGTCCATCATCATATCCATGCCTATAGTCACGGTGGTATATGTTCTAACCAACCTGGCCTACTTCACCACCATCTCTCCTCAAGTCATGATTGAGTCAGAGGCTGTTGCTGTGGTGAGTGTACTGCTTTTCTTTAATATGATGTGTTTCATCCTCAACTGGGACATGCATATTGGTTGTTTGTGGTCACAAATTCTCCTCATCTGCTTTTTCTTTCTGTTCTGCAGAGTTTTGGGGAGTACCATCTTGGTGTGATGTCCTGGCTCATTCCTGTCTTTGTGGGACTGTCCTGCTTTGGTGCAGTCAATGGATCACTCTTTACTTCAGCGCGGTGTGTGTTTGCATGTGTACAATGAAACATAAGACAGCATTTTATACATTTAGTATTAATAGTTTAACCTCTTAAGCCCCAACGCACCCTGATAGGGGGGCAAAAGGCAGGAGATCAGGTGGGCATGGGGCTTAAGAAATTAAAGTCTCCGTATTTTTGGAATAAATAATGATTTAAGAAATTTCTCTTCTAGTTTGTTCTATGCTGGAGCTCGAGAGGGTCAACTCCCTGCTGCTCTGGGGTTGGTCCACACAGACCTGTTCACACCAGTGCCATCCCTCATATTCACAGTAAGAAACCTGATACTTTCAGTGACATTTTACCAGCTGGCTACCAATAAGATTAGGTTAGTGTGTTAAATCATGTATGATCATTGCTAAAAACCTCAAAAGTGTCCCCATTTTTGAGGTATTATACGGAAGTGTATATAAATCTGTTTTGATGATACAAAACATTTGTGAAGCATTTGTAGAGTTATTTTTGTTCGAGAAAACTACTTCAGTGAAGAGTTACAGTTAAGTCCATAATTTGTTGGATTTTTGTGCATTTTTTATGATCTTGCCTCTGTGCACCACCACAGTAGCTTTTAAATCAGACAGTCAAGATGTGATTGAAGTGCAGACTTGCAGCTTTGATTCAGTGAATTGGACTTTACAACAGTTTTTATACACAGTGCCTCATTTTCAGAGGCTCAAAAGTAATTGGCTGACAAGCAGTTTGAATGTTACTTCATGACAAACTAAGCAGATCTAGTATCTGTGGTTGATTCCAAGTGGTGCATTTTTATTTTCGAGCTCTTATTTAGCTCTTTATTGTCATTTTAAATATCAAAACAACTTCAAACCATCTGACCAAGTCAAGAATAGTCTCAAAGAGGTAGATGCATTATTGTTAGGGTCTACAATCAAGACGGCTTCAAGAAAGTATATACAGAGGGTTTAGAGAAAGGTGCAAACCACTGGTTACACTCAAGAACAGGGAGGTCAGATTAGATTATTACCAGAAAACATCTAAAAGAGACTGCACAGTTCTGAGAAAAAAATTTGGGGGGGGGCAAATGAAACCAAGATAAGCTTCTACCAGAGTGAAGGGAAGAGAAAAGTATGGAGAAAAAGAGAAACAGCTCATGATGTGAAGAATACCACATCATCTGTCAAACATGGAGGTGGAGGCACTGTTATGGTATTGGCATGTATTGCTGCTAGGAGAACTAAGTCACTGGTGTTTATTAATGATGTGAGTGCTGATAGAAACAGCAGGGTGAATTGTGAAGTGTCCAGGGCTACACTTTCTGTTTAGATTCAGCCAAAGCTGCAAAACTGATCAGACAGCGCTTCATGGTGCAAGTGGATAATGACCCAAAAACTGTAAAACCAAGTCAGGAGTTTCTCAAGGCAAAGAAACGGGATATACTTCAAAGGCCAAGTCAGTCACCTAATGTCGACCCAACAAAGCGTGTTTTTTCATTATTAAATAAAAACCTGAATGCAGCAATGAAGCACTGGTAGATAATCTCAGTGGAGAAAGCACAACGTCTGGTGATGTCCACGTGTTCTAAACTTCAGGTGACTAACACACTGACTAAAATCAACCCTTACATTAAAAGTGATATTAACTTGTTCAGTTCATTTTGAGCCTTTGAAATTGGAACTATGTCTAAAAATGGCTCCAGTTCTTAAAGAGTTAATGCAGTCTTCTCAAATTAAGGTCTGCATCAATCACATGTTGATTGTTTGGTTTAAAATTCGCTGTGGTGGTGAACAGTAGCAAAAAAGCACACAAACTACCCATGGGAATATGTCTGTGAAGGTTCTCAGTCATCCAGATCATCGTAGTCTAAGGAGCTTGGAAAGAAAAGCGTCTGGACTTCTTTGAGTTGCTTGAAGACGTTTCACCTCTCATCCAAGAAGCTTCTTCAGTTCTAAGGGTCAATGGTGGGGCGTCCCAGATATAAACCCAGTGGGAGTTTCCCCCCAAAGAGGGGACAAAGGACCCCCTGATGATCCTCTACCTAATCACATGAGCCAAGGTGTGAAAGTGTGTGAAAACTCAAAGAAGTCCAGACGCTTGTCTTTCCAAGCTCCTTAGACTACCCATGGGAAGTTAACTGAAAATGGCAGCTTTATTATTGGAAAAACCTCCATTAAATAAACTTTCAAAAAACAAACCAAAACCCTGAACATGAGAACTAAGAACTGAAAAACACTGGGAAACTGGAACTTAAATTAGACCAAAAGAAAACAGACCAGGAACTGAGAACTAGAGATCTAAACAGAGCCATGAGAGAAACACACAGCAGTGAGGGTCTACGCTGCGACAAAGGGCAAAGGAAAACACAGGGCTACGGAGTAACACGGGAATGGAGAGCACAGCTGGGACTAATCAAACATGACGAGATAAAGGGGAAGCAAAGCTTTAAACACTGAACACAGGACATAAGACCTATAAAAATAAAACAGGAAACCAGAGACATTCACAAAGATGTAGACTTGACACCAATGTTCCCTATAAACTGCGCGCGTGCGCACTGCTGGCACGGTCTCTGCGCACAGAAAATATGCGTTGCGCACAAAAAAAAACTAACCTGAATTGAAATTAAAATTAAAACTTTAACAATTCAGTTTTGCAGTGTTAGTCAGTAAGTGACTGGCTGCTCCCGTATGGGATTAGAACGATGCCACCTTATCCAATAGTCCAGCCAATGATGCGATTCACATTCGTATATACGCAGCTAATCAACATCATTGACAGGCTAACAGCGTTCTTATGTGCCGACACCGGTGTTTTAGCTAGCAAAGCGGCGTGGCTGATGTGAAGTGAAGCCACGTTAATAACGTGTACAACCATTGGAGATGTGAGCAGGACAGACGGAACAATTAACGGGAAACTGTGGACCTTATACCAGTTTTTAAATTGTGTTGATCGGCCATGTAAAACCGGAGTTATGATAAAAATATGCAATGTTTGGTTTTCTTCCTGAATACTGTCGTTGTTTATATTTACTGCCCGAAGAAACGGTAAAAACGGCGTTTTATAAGGAAAACGCTCGAAAGCACTCTCCCTGTGAGAAAAGCCGAAACCAAAAAACCCCACCCTTTCCTATTGGTCGAAAAATGTACCAAGTGATATGGCAACAGATGTTTAGGAAGGGGGTAGTTTTAGGAGTGTTTTGAGATGTGAGAGATTTGCGACGTTTAGCGCAAATCTTGTGTAGTGAGTGTGTAGTGTAGTCAATAGTTTTGTTGTGTGTGTCAGAACAATGAGGTGACTGCTGAATGTAACATTCATGTAACATCTCCAGTTGTCAGGCCTGCAGGTATCAGGCTGTTGTTCTCCTTTATCTCATAGTGGACAGAAATTATTTTTGGAGTGGCACAAATAATTTGTGTGGCATCAAATTTGATGCAGAACAGCTGATTGTTCTGTAAATAGTTTGAGATGTTTGTTTAAAAAACGCCTTGGCTGCATTTTTAGGTAAGCATCTGCAAAAAACTTTGTCGTTTGCATAACTCAGTTACTTTTTTGAAGAAGTAACTATATAATTAATTGCCCAACATTGATCATTCTATACTGTATTTTGCAGACAGAGAGTTACAGGACTCTCCCAGACCACAGACTCATACTCATAATACAAAAAATAAAAAATAAATAAAAAAAATAAAAATAGAAAGTTGTGTTTTCAAAATTGGAGTCCAAGTTATTTTTACTTCCAATAGTGTTAACATACTACACAAGATTTTTTTTAAATTTTCATTGTAGGTGGGCTAAAGCAGTTAATTAAAAGTAGTCTAACATAAATGTAAATGCTGTAATTTGATTATTTTAATAAACCATGTAACTTGGATGGATTTGATGCTGGCGTGACCACAGTGCACACGTCTAATGTTGCTCACAGTGGTCCAAGGGACCGCTCAGGGAGTTTGTGTGTTCGCTCAGACACATGAAAAATTAGAGGGAACATTGCTTGACACTGAAACATAGAGACATAACTGACTGAGGAGACAGAAAGAACATGGAGATGAGTGACTAGACGAGGAACACGGGGAAGGCAAAGTAACAGAGACCTAAATCCTGGGAACTAAGAATATAACACAAGCAGAACACAATAAAGAGAACCAAACCATGAATAACAATAATCAGAAAATAAAAATTAACCAACAAACACAAAACCCTGGGTCACAGACCCAGTACTGTGACACCTACCTGCCTTAAATAACTGCTCTATTCAAGAAAATCACTAAGGAGGATTCAGAAGCCTTGTGTGTGTTTATAATCTATTATCCATCTACTATCTATAATCTAATGTTTCCAGCAAACTAATGCAATCTTTACTCCTTTTTTCATTGTATTAGTGTTTCCTATCGATGATGTATGCCATCTCCCAGGACATCTTCTCTGTCATCAATCTCTTCAGCTTCTTCACCTGGATGTGTGTTGGGATGGCCATCGCTGGCATGATCTGGCTGCGCTTTACCAAACCCGACCTCAGAAGGCCCATTAAGGTGAACGTCTTAGGGGTTAAAGTAGCTGCTCAGTGCGTGTTGCAGAGAAGATCCATTTTGATGGATATGAGTCTCACTGAAAGGTGACCCTAGCCCTACCTTCCTTGTCTGGCAAAACATCAACATGTCTTCTAGTTTCATAAAGCATCTGCTATTTTTTTTTTTTTTAGTGAAAGCACCATTGTATCGCTACTCTTGTTATTAGGTGGAACTGGAAACATACTGTTTTTCCAAGACAGGAGGGAGGGGTATTTGGAGGAATACATGATCCTTTGTTTCTATTTCATCATGGGAAAATTACCTTGGCTGACCAGTCTTTCATCTTCTCTTTGGCCCACACTGCTTTCAGCTCAGTTATTTTATAAAATCATCTATAAACATATTAAAAGAGAGAGAGAGAGCTATTTATATGTAAACCATTCATAAAAAATGTCAGTTTCAACCCAGAAAAAAGAAAAACAAACCGTCAGCTCAAGCAGTTTAACTGATAACTGAATGCAATAACAGTATGGAGCTCTTAACATAACAGTTTAGCCAATAATAATTTCTTCATTGTGATCAAATTGTTGGGGACGCTTAAGGAAAAAGGGTAAGCCAGTATGAGAAAAATACTTAAGTAAGAGTACAAATGTATTTAGTATCAACTATAGCACATATCATTGTTTCAAAATCAGATCTTTAGATGAAGTCAGGCATCATTCAACTTTGCATACACAGTCTTATAGTTTGAATTTGTATTGATTTGATTGATTTTTTTTTGCATTATTGTCTGATCTGTAAAGTAATCGGTACTGAAAATGTCTTAATATAAAAACTTTAGTAATTATTTGTCTCCTCTTGTTGTTTAATGGAAACAAAGTGGCAGAAAACAGATATCAGTGAAGAAGTTACAGGATCTAAAATCTAAACTTGGGAAGTATTGTCATCAAAATCATTATACATTAGTCTAATCGTTAGCTATAGTTGCATTATTCCAAAGTCCAAATATGATATTTTCTTCTTTTTCAGTGTGTGAGACATCTTCACTCAACAATTATAAACTGTATCTTATCTGCTCACGTCTAATGTAAATCGAAACACATCTTCATCTGTTATGTATTTTGTATTTTCTCTCTGCAGATTTCTCTCTTCATCCCCGTTACTTTTGTGTTGAGCTGCGTCTTCATGATCGTCGTGTCCTTTTGGGCAGCTCCCTTCGAGTGTCTGCTAGGCAGCGGCATTATTCTCACAGGCGTCCCAGCGTACCTACTGGGCTACAAGTGGAAAAAACCCCATGTGGTCAAGAAGATGCTGGGTGAGTTGGAGATTTTTTTTTGTTTTTTTTAGAGTGAGGCAAAGGTGTTTTGTTGTGAAATTCCTGTGAGATTATCTGCTCAAGTTCTGCTGTGGGCACCGGTACATTTCCTTTGTTTACATAGTTGGTCCGGAGGACTCAGGCAAAAGACCGATATTTGACCTGTAGTAGCCTAGCAAAGAGAAAACAGACGTGGCTAACGTGACAAGTTGTTTCTTCTCAGAAATCTTCACCATGTTCTGTCAGAAGATCTTCATGTCTGTTCCTGAAGAGAAGGAGCAACATGGGGCGGCTGAATAATGCTGGACAAACCGAGCAAGATGAAAGACTGGGTCAATATTTTTGTCTGGACATTCCTGTAATGTTTACATTCATCCACATGTGATCGGACTTTTTTTGTTTTAACTTTATCTGACCAGGCAGGTAACTGTGAACATATTCAATATTCGCAAGAGTGGCCTGACAAATGGAGGATTTGTTTTATGAATATTTTATGAATACTGCAACTTTTCTGCAAAGAAGACCACCGGGCATTTTACACTCCTTATTATGAATTGATTTTAATATTTCAGCATATCTCCTTAAATGGTCAAACATGCTCTGATGTTCCATGTTAGCTAATGGAAAGCCATCTGTAAGTGTATGACTGCTGCAGGCATATAATTACTTGTGTACTGCAAGTACACAATCAGGAGCTGCAGTGGCCCGTGACGTACAGGTATATTTTTCTCCTGAAGTGTACAAATGAATAGCTTAGGCGGGAAAATATATGTCTAATACCACTAACAACCAAACTAGACATAGTATATTATAGTTTAGGGTTTATATTTATAGTTTATATTGTGTTAAAATAAAGGATTTTGCTATAGTTGCTATAATAACATCACTTAGAGTTTATAACTAAGGTCAGATTTGGAAGAGGAAGAGGTTGTCTAACAAAGCACTTACTTCATTTTCTCATATGGTACTAATGTTTGTGTTAAATAGTAATTCATTCTCACATTTACTTGATATTGTTTTTTATTTATTGGTAAGATGAACTTGTAGCGCTGTCGTAAAGCACAAGCTAAAGGGAGATGAGAGTGTCTGTGATGTCTGCTTGAGCTGCACTGTGAATCATGTCTGTTTCTTGTATCATTTCATTCTGATACCTCATCGGCGCCACGTGTGACGATACTCGATGAAAACGATACCAGCATCTCCGCTTGTGCGCCATTGTTGTGAGACAGCGTAGATATGCTCAGATATCGTAGTAGTGTTCGTAGTTAGCCTTAGTGTTTGTACTGAACGTATTTGATGTCTGTGCCAGCCGTGCCAGTGCTGATATTCTATTTCTTTTTGTCACTGTATGACCAAAATGAATGTTGCAACTTTAGAGATGCTGGCTTTGCTTGTAATTTTTGTAGGAAATGTACCTGGAGAGAGGTTTGAGGTTTTCCCAGCGTATTTCCTGGTCCAGTGAAGGCTTGGGAAGGGAGGAGCTTCAGAGGAATGTTAAGGGGGATTGGAATCATGTGGAGTGGGAAAAAGGTTTCTTACTTTTGCACACAAAGGAGAGACAGTCTCCTTACAAATATACCACAGATGTACGTATTGTCAGCCTACTCACTGTGCTGGCAGTCCAGGTTTCACAGGCCCCTTTCCAGTGAAGGGAAAGGTCTGAAAAAACATACTAATTCATACTGGTTGCTATTCCTTTAACATTAATGCAGCAGAAGCTTTCAGACAAGAACAAAAGAAAGTCTGTGAGAAAAATGACCTTTGACATTCTCACTGGTAACAGACTTTCCGTGGTGAGACACAAACAGCTCTTCTTTTTCTTTTTGTAAAGGAACCCTCTTTAATCTTATTTGTATAAGTTAATGGAAATGTGAAGTTTAAATACAAACATGTAAGTACATTTGCAATTAGCATGCAACAATATTTCTCCCACTTAAAGTATTTAATACGGATTCTTTATTAATGCAGATTGCATACAGATTTAAAAAGAGAATAGCTGAATGCAAATGCTTGCAAAGTTGGCACTGTGATCATCTTTAAAGGTGAGCTCTCTGAAAGCACACCAATGAACAACACAGTCCTCGAAGACACGCCCCTTACTTAATGAATCTACTTAAATTAAAGCCCTGAACACACACGTGTGTCTAAAAACACACTGATTCCAGTTATGATGATAAGCGGTCTGATATATTTTATTTTATGCACAACGTGCTGCATCGGTGTGTGTGCGTTTGTGTGTGTAAAGTATTACTATATGTGAAAATCAATAACGCAAATGTAATTGAGAATAAAGGAAGCTCATATTTTTGATTCTATAATCGAGAGTACCTATTGTAACTGTTGTCTGTGAGTGACCATAGTAGGTACTGTACGTGTAAAAAATAAAACTATTTTGTTCAAAGTTTGATTGTTTGCGCTTTTGTAAAGCAGACGGCCAACAAAAGGAGTCAGAGGATTAAAATCTGATTGCTTTCTCCTGTAGAAATGCAGCAGCTGGTCGACAAAAGGCCGGCCGAAGCCCCTCTTCAGGCACCGGCTTCAGATAAAACAAAGATTCTCTGAACCTGACATCCTAACGTCCAAATGAGGATGTTTCTCAAAATAGCGTTATCATCTCAGCCATCAAATGTTTGGTAGTGCTCTGTGTCACATGCACATTGCTTCTTGTTTGTCCTGTCTTGTTTGTTGGCTCTCAGACAATGACGCTGCCGACCCGCTGTGCTGTCAGGGGACTTCATATCCGTCTGAAGAGGAAATGAGACGGCCCGATGGCTGCTGATGGAGCTCTTATCAGAGCTGCTGGACACAATATTAGTGATGGGGGATTGGACAGGCAAGGAGCCGATGAATGCGCAAGTCACGTCTACAAATACAGAGTATTTTGATATATTAAGTGAAGATGGAAGTGGGGAAAGGGTTCAAAGCATTTTCAGAAGATGTGGTGAAGTCGAGGTGTTAGTGTATTCTTTATCTTGAAGACAGTGTGGGTAAAATCAGTTTAAAAAAAAAAAAATGTATATAATATTATACAATTAGTTTAGACTACAGAAAGCCGACTATTGCAAATGTTTTTGTTATAACATATGATCATCGTTTTACAGCTTCTAAAAACAAAAAAACTTTCATCTGCTTTTGGCATCAACATTAGGGCTGTGTAGCCAATACTAGATTTCACCAGCAGGTGGCGATAGAGGCCCATCAATAGAAAGATGATGGCGAATCACTGAAAGGAAACTGCCGAACTACGGTAATCACCCACGCAATAAAACAACAAAACATATTAAATTTAGAACGTCTGCCTTTGAAACTGTGCAAACCTTATTATTAATATTACTAATCTCTACGTTTCCGTTCACAAATTATTAAATTAGTCTAACAAATGCTAGTTTACCTGTGTTTTAGCAGAGTATTTTTCCTAAGACGAACATGCTGCAGATGAAGATGAGCCATGGGTGAGGGTTGCTCAAGGGCACAACTGAAGAGGGAATGATAGTGAAGCCTTTGATATCCTTTATCACTGTTAAAACATATCAGCGTCCCACTTTTAGGAATCTGATTTACTATAATTAAAGTATCTTTCTATTTTGAGGGTTTAGGGCAAGGATGTCAAACTCATTTTATATTTTGGTACAACCCATTTTGATCATAAGTGGGACAGACCAGTGAAACTCTCCTGGCTGTTAGCGTAAAGAAGCTTAACTACACATTTAATCCCAGAGACATTTTAATATAAGAACACGAAACTCAGTTTGAGCAGTACATCTCAGTTTGTCTGCATGTGAAATAGCTGTTGCTCTGGACCTAAACTGCAAGAAATAAATGTTCTGTTAGCTTATTGCACAAACTGTCATAGAGTTATAAAACAGAACATTTGTAATAATTGACAGAATGACGTTTTTTAAACATGATTTTTGACAGTAAACCTACCGTAAAAACCAAACATTTCTATAGCATCTGGCGAAAAAAAACAGGCACTCTGTTATTTCATTGTATATCTATTACTTGTTTACTCTGACTTGTCACGGGGGAGCGCTTTATCAGTAGAAAAAGCCATAAAACTTATGAAACTATAAGCTTGTAAACATTTTTTATATTTTTGTTCTTTACATTTTCGAAAGCCGTGTAATGCATCAGATTGGAGTCTCTCACAGGCCCATTCTGGCCCCGGGCGCTTTGATAGACACCCGCTTTAGGGGAACTAACAAACTGTGAGGTTATAGTTTTGTGAATCGGCTCTAGGGGGCACTGCGCCATCACCACGATGGAAAGAGAGAGCAAGAGGGCAAAAGAGAGAGGGAGAGGGGGAGTAGAAAGGGTAGAGAAAGCGCTGATGCGAAAGGCTGATAGATTCCATTTCTATTTTACCTTTAATCCAACTGTGAAATTCATAACTAAAAGGCAGATTTTGTTCTTCTTCTTCTCAGGTAGTTCTCTGAAAGGCCGTGTACTGCTGCATCAACTCTGAGTTTCATCATGGCACCTTTTAGCAAAAAAAAAACATGGCCAGGGGGCAGGAAAAAAATGTTGCTTGGTGTTTTATATTGATCTAGTCTGGATTTTATGGGGTGGGGAAGAAAAAATAGAAACAGCGAAAAGGTTAAAAGCACGTTAAATGAAGTTACACTATCAAGCCTTAACTTTTCACCTAATGAGCCATGTGACAGCAGCTACATCAACTCCTGCTACATCAAAGGTAATTCTCCTAATTAACCCCAGACACATGCAGGGGGAATGCAAAGTTGCGTTTACAGGTTGCTGTAGCGATCAGGCAGAGCTCATCAAAAACACTAATGAATCTGTTAAGACTTAATGACAGCCATGCAGTCAAAAACAAGCAGAGACGCACACCTTTTTTTGTTTTGTTTTTCACTTTAAACATTTTATTACAGACAAAAGAAAACAAAAAGAAGTAATTGTGACACAAAAAAGAAAAGAAAAAAGAATCTAATGCTGGTACATTAGCACCAACAGCAGTTTTTGAAAAAATATTATTCTAATAATCATGTAGTTTGATCATTAATAGTAATAATAATAATAATAATAATAATAATAATAATAATAATGCACCCTGATTAAAATAAGCCAAAATTTTACTTCATTTCATTTATAAATAGATGTGGAACCTGCAACCAAATTAAATAGAATGACCATATGATATTTAACAAAAACATAATGGGTTCTCTCATCACTGGCTTTAAAACTTTAAAAGAAGTATGTTTGGCAGGTTTATACACAAAATTAAAATATCTGTCCTGACGAGCAATCCTCTGAAACAAAATCCTGCTACAGTGAAAAAAAAGAAAATCTTAAAGAATTATTTTTCTTTACAGAAAAAAAAGATAAAGATGAGTTCAACACAATTCTAAAACACCTAATAAAACTAGTCAAAAACTTTAAAACCCACTGTTATGTTTTTTTTTCTTTTTTAACCTTTAGTAACATTTCACATTTAGCAACTTTTTTTTTTTTTTTTTTTTATTCACCTGTACAAGTGGTGCTGGGACTAAGGGGTGGCTGGGCGGGGTCACAGGTGTAGGGGAGGAGGGTGTGGTCTTTACTGACCTAGTAAGTAGGAGGAGCTAAAAGGAGAGGTTTCAATCTTTGACCTCTACAGTTCTGCAGCGTCCTGAGGCCATGTGAAGAGAGTGCGACACTCTCTGCCGGAGCTCTGCCAGCTGTGGAGGAAATTGAGCATTTTGCAGTCTTTGCATTTCCCTCTTTATTTTGGAGAGATTTGAGACTGGTGAACACAGTTTCAACACGAGTTTTAGTGTGTGTATTCCCTCACTGAATCCGCCTGCACAGAAAAAAAAACAATTGGAAAAAAAGAAAAAAGAAAAAGGCAAGGGACTGCAGCTAAATACACACATAAGAGGAATCCATTTTGGTGATATTTACAATCACGCTGTGATAAATAAAGGAAAGGATGAAGACCTCTACTGAGGGCAAGGATGATTTACAAATGCGTTTGTGACTATACCTTCATTTTAAATGTCGCTTTGCTTTCACTCACTTCGGGTGTTTCAGTCTGTCCCGAAGAACATCCACCCCGATGGGGTGACTATATTCTATTTTCCTGCGTTAGCTTTTCTACCCAAGACCCTACACTTGGAGTATGCTTTGAGCATTTTAACTCCCCAAAACAAGGGCAGTCCATGGCAAACAGCGTAATGGAGCAAAGAGGAGTGGAATCATCTTTTTAAAAAAAATCTAGACAAAATGAGAAGATGTTTTTTTTCTTTCTTTTTCTTTTCTTTTTTTTTTTGGTCTTCATTTCCAGTATGTTGGCATGAGCTTAAAACTCACTGCCCCCTCAAAAAATGGAAAGTTCACTGATAAGGAAAAAAAAAAGCAAGAGAAGTGCCTCGGGCTTCTGG